TGATGTTAAGTAAACAATACTAATCTCTAACATGAACATTAATTATCTCAAGCTTGAACCATCTTTACCTTCAACCATTTTTATCTGTAACCTGACCTGTACTCATCGCTAACCGTACTTATCTATAACATTAACCATAGGGGGGGGTCCAAAAATCGTATACTAGGACAGACCCAAAAATCGTTCTCTAGGAAATTACCGATCTTTAATTTATTTCTTGACATTTAAGGTGCTCGCCTTTAGATCCCCATAGAAATAAACGTTCGTCAATTAATCAGTTTATTTCTTTAATTACCTCTCCTGAACCGAAAGCTTTCCTCGCCTTGATATTCAAGCTCTGCTCAGATTTCTTCACTGGTCGTCGCTTCTTCGAGATTTTGTCCTTTACTTTGAATTCGGCGGGTTTATTCTCCTTTTCAGTATTCCTCGGCTTAAATTTAGATTTCGCCATTTTGATGTAAAACTAGTTTAAATTTAGAAAAAGAAAAAAGTTATACACAATACGATATAACAGATTTGTTGAGAAGATAACGACACCGTACTACAAGATAATTCTAATTTGTCCGCATGGGTTTACTCCACATGTCTGGATTTCTGCGGTATAATGCCAAGTAATTTTAAAACTTTGAGAGGCTTCAAGCAGATCTGTAATGTCGTCTTTTTAAAAAAAATATTTGGATATACATATATCTTTCAATTGTTAAATTGTTAAAATTATAGGTCTTTCATGGCCGCAGCGCTCGTCCTCATCCATCCAAAAAGTGCCCATCCGACTTACTAAATATGCCCATCCAACCTACGAAATTGAAATGAACAATAGTTCAAATGAACAATAGTTCAAACGGCAGTTATAGTCCAAATGAGATAGCATCGCCCATCCGACCTACGTAAAATGCCCATCCGACCAAGAAAATATGCCCATCCGACCTACAGCTGTCGTAGGTGAGATGTTGCAGTGTCGGATGGGCAGTATAGCGGATGGGCAATAGGACGGATGGGCAGTATCGAGCGGATCAACATTACCCTTTCGACCTACGCAAATCCAGGTGGATTCTCATTTTAACTATAATGTACTCCCGTTTGAACTATTGTTCGTTTGAACTATTGTTCGTTTGAACTATTGTTCGTTTGAACTATTGTTCATTTGAACTACTGACATGACGTCATATACTGCAGTAGTTCAAATCAACACATTACGCTCATTTGAAAAAATTTTCTTCCAATTCCGTTTTTAAATTTTTTTATAATTATGAAGTTAGGGACCATACAATTAATTAGATAACATGTTTCAAATGAACATAGGGATCGGAATATTTGACAACTCAGTTCCGTTCTAAATGTTAAATAAAAAAGCTTGATACTGACTTTTTAAATATAAGCAGGTTACAGATTATAAACGGGCCTGTTATATAGTTAAAATTAAAAAACGTTTTTTTTGTGGCATACAAAAATTTAAATCCTATAAATGTTTCTGGAACATTAAAGGTTTTTGATTTTCCATTGTTCAATGGAACCCCCTAAACCTCTGAAAAAGGAAAGCGAAGAAATTTTACAAATGCATTTGATGTTATAACGCAAATGATTTACTAATAGCATAAAAATGAACTTATTGTGTAACGGGTCTATGTACACTACACAATTGCCTTGTTTAAAGTTTATTTGACTATTTGAAATAACTTCAGTTGGTTCATGTTTTAGGTTAAAAAATCTAGAAATATCAGGGGGGATACTAGTTCATGATATCCTTCCTCTCGGTATCCTAGAGCTCCTGGTCCCTCTCTGTATCCTGGACATTCTAGTTCCTGATATCCTTAGTTCCCCTCGGTATCCTAGAGCTCCTGGTCCCTCTCTGTATCCTGGACATTCTAGTTCCTGATATCCTTAGTTCCCCTTGGTATCCTAGAGCTTCTAGTTCCTCTCTGTATCCTGGACATTCTAGTTCCTGATATCCTTAGTTCCCCTCGGTATCCTAGAGCTTCTAGTTCCTCTCTGTATCCTGGACGTTCTAGTTCCTGATATCCATAGTTCCCCTTGGTAACCTAGAGCTTCTAGTTCCTCTCTGTATCCTGGGCGTTCTAGTTCCTGATATCCTTAGTTCCCCTCGGTATCCTAGAGCGTCTAGTTCCTCTCTGTATCCTGGAAATTCTAGTTCCTGATATCCTTAGTTTTCCTCGGTATCCTAGAGCTTCTTATAGGTGTAGATTTGCTCTACACCTCTAGTGAACCTATAGGGAGGCTCTCCTAGAGTATCTAGAGTAGTTGAACTATCTGTAGTAGTGGATGATGAGAATGAGGCTGTCCTAGCTGTTCTGTATCTCCAGTGTCTTTTTTCATAGGTCCAGCTCAAGTATCTATAATTCCATTAGACATCTCTTTGTTGATATTGTACTCTCTAGTTTTAGTGAACCTCTCACTAAGCCCGGCTGTAGCATCCAGAGTAGTTAAACTATCTATAGAGTTACTCTATACCTCTAATGAACATATAGGGAGGCTCTCCTAAAGTATCTAGAGTAGTTGAACTATCTGTAGAGTCCACGAATGTATTTCCCCTGTTATTAGAGTAGTTGAACTATCTGTAGAGTCCAAGAATGTAGTTCCCATGTTATGCTGAGAAATCCTGAGGATATCCTGTTGTAGTGGATGATAATAATAATGCTAGAACAAAGTTGATTGAATTTACTCTGGATTGAATGCTTGAACAAGGATGAATGAATTTACTCTGGATTGAATGCTAGAACAAGGATGAATTTACTCTGGATTTAATGTTAGAACATGGATGAATTTATTCTGGATTGAATGCTAGAACAAGGATGAATTTAGAAAGGATTGATTGCTTGAACAAGGATGAATTTACTCTGGATTGAATGCTAGAACAAGGATGAATTTACTCTGAATTGAATGCTAGCAAAAGGATGAATTTACTCTGGATTGAATGCTAGAACAAGGATGAATTTACTCTGGATTGAATGATAGAACATGGATGAATTTACTTTGAATTGAATGCTAGCAAAAGGATGAATTTACTCTGGATTGAATGATAGAACATGGATGAATTTAATCTGGATTGAATGATAGAACATGGATGAATTTACTCTGGATTGAAGGCTAAAACAAGTATGAATTTACCAAGGATTGGTTGCTACAAGGATGAATTTACTCTAGATTGAATGCTAGAATAAGGATGAATTTACCATGGATTGGTTGCTAGAACAAGGATGAATTTACTCTGAATTGAATGCTAGCAAAAGGATGAATTTACTCTGGATTGAATGCTAGAACATGGATTAATTTACTCTGGATTGAATGATAGAACATGGATGAATTTACTCTGAATTGAATGCTAGAACAAGGATGAATTTACCAAATATTGGTTGCTAGAACAAGGATGAATTTACTCTGGATCAAATGCTAGAAAAAGGATGAATTAACTCTGGATTAAATGCTAGATCATAGATGAATTTACTCTGGATTGAATGCTAGAACAAGGATGAATTTATCTTGTATTAAATCCCAAAACAAAGATGAATTTACTCTGGATTTTTGCTAGAACAAGGATGAATTTACTCTGGATTGAATGCTAGAACAAGGATAAATTTATCATGAATTAAATGCTAGATCATAAATGAATTTACTCTGGATTAAATGCTAGAACAAAGATGAATTTACCATGGATTGAATGATAGAAAAAGATGAATTTACTCTGGATTGAATGCTAGAACAAGGATTAATTTACCATTGATTGAATGCTAGATCATGGATGAATTTACTTTGGATTGAACGCTAGAACAAGGATGAATTTACTCTGGATTGAATGCTAGAACAAGGATGAAATTACCATGGATTGAATTCTAGATCAAGGATGAATTTGATTCAGGGTTGAATGCTAGATCAAGGATGAATTTATTCTGGGTTGAATGCTAGATCAAGGATGAATTTATTCTGGATTGAATGCTAGAATTAGGATGAATTTTCTCTGGATTAAATTAAAAAAAAAACAATTTAATTCGGTTGAAAGATCGTGAAAAAAGCTATCCGTGTTTTCTCTGAACGAACGATTTTCATTAAAATTTTGAAAAACGATAGTTTTTTAATTACTAAACAAACGATTTTTTTAACTTTTGAAAAACGATCGTTTTTTTATATAAAAAGAACGATATTACTGGACTATTAGAAGCCTAGTAGTAAAATAGAACAACAAAGTACATACACGCACTATAAACCAAGGTACTCATGCAAGGAAAGTTATTTCAGAGGTGTACGCATTTTTTGTACTGCAGTGTACTGTCTTTGGGCGGAAAAGTAAACACAAGACGGATGTCACAGCCTGACATGGAATCCATTTTTACAAAAATAATCTATGAAATATTCTGGTCATAGGAAACTTTGATGTGCATTATCAAAATTAAATGCTTTTAACAACCTCGGATACTGAATGAACACAGATGCATCTATTCTTGTTTTCAAATTCCGCTTAGAGAGAACCGGTTTCATTATGTTTGCAGAGTATACGTGACCGCAATTAACTTTCTTTGCATTAGTACCTTGGTATAAACTAAGCTTTTGAACCGTACTGCAGCATTCTGCAATACAGTTTTAGCGTACATTAAATAAAGTAGAAAGTTCATCTTTTCTATCTTACATAAAATATATTATGTCACTTTTGGTTTTATATTAGTATTTCAATCATTTTTACCCTCTATAGCTAGGCACTGCAATTACTGGAAGAACTTGCTGGTTTAGATTGGGAAGTGGATGAACCGCGAATACAGAGTTCAGCAACTTCAGCCATGTTATCAGAAAAGAAGTATGGTTCATCAAATCGGGTTCCTGGTGCACTACTACAGGGGGCACATAAGCTCAGTCTAAAAGAAAGAGAAATGTTAAAAATTATGAAAAGTATGTAAAACGAATCAATCATCAGTGAACAAGATTCTGTTCTTTGTAAAAATTTGGAAAATAGAGTTTAACATTTCTTCTTGAAATCTTTAAAAATGTTTCCTTAGGATGTACGCGATTTTAAAACTAGTTCTCTAAAATAAATTGATCTCGTTTAAAGTTAGCACCTCGGATGAAATTTGAAAAAAGATAAACTCATTTTAATAAACAAATTAACTTGGCGAGGGGGTTCAGAGTGAAAATGGGCTTCCTTAAAGATATCATCTATAGTTGCTTCTTTTATAGTATCAAAATTAAATCAACTTGAAACTTGGATTTGGGCTTATTTGGTGAAAGCAAATGATTTGTTAAATATAAATTCAACAAAAAAATAAGAATTAATGTGGTATGCTAATATTTTGTTATTTCTCAAGTTTAGCTTAACCATTTTGCAATTTTAATTGCTGAGAAATCTTTTCTAAAAAGTCCTGAAACTCATCTTAATATCGGAAAAAAGAATATCAAATTATCTTATTGATAAGTAATTTTATGTTAATGATCATACTATACAAATATTTAAACAAAGATTTTATTTCCGATATTTCCTACAATTATATGAAATGCACAACTCACTTTATGTAGAGAAGCCACAATTGAAAATAATTCGTTATCAAAATTATAAAAATGACATCACTAATTCATACTTGATCAGACGACGCTATGAATTGAAAAGTAATTTTACGTTAACGATCTCTATACTAGATTAATATAAATATTTGAACAATACATAAAGCTGAGCATACTATGTCAAGTTAACATCCGGACGCAAAGATTCAAAACAGAACCCTCGAAACCTTTATCTTATCAATAAAGTGGAAGATATTGTCGATTTTTTAGTCTAAAAGTGTTTATTCCTAACAAATCCTACATTTTTCTTACAGTAGAATTGCACAATTCACTAATTTATACTTGATCAGACAACGCTATTAACACATTATGAAGTGTTATAACGTTATGAATCAGATATTGCAATCTTTCCATCAAGGAACACTTATAGTCACGCTTACAGTCTTTTTAACATAAAAGTTTTTTAAATATTACATGAAACTATATTTAATGTCGTCTTACATGAAGTTAAACAGTTTTGGGGGGATCTAAAACTTCTTGATATTTTCTTAAAAACTACTCAATGATAAGTACAGATGCCCTTCAGGTCGGTTTCCTCTCTTCGTTAACGATCGTTAACGAAGGGTCGTCGTTAACGATCGTTAACGAAACGACGAGTTTTATAAAAGCGATCGTTTTTCAAAACAATCGTTTTTAAGACGACCATTTTTAAATAACGAACTTTAAAAAAAACGATAGTTTTAAAAACGATGGTAATTCGTTTCTGATTATTCGTCGTCGTTTTCATAACGAAACGATCGTTTTTCAAAAAAATTAAAACGTTCTCACACGGAATGTTAGAAATGCACAAATTGAACGACTTGGTTTTTAGGATCCCGGCCCAAATCAAGAGTAAAAGTCGATAATAAAAGCTATAACCCAACATTTTATAAGCCTGACGCTGTCGAGGGAGTCGAGGACAACAATCACTAATTTCAAACTATTTTCTGTAATCAAAATTACAAAAGGAGTTGATAAAGTAACGTTATCGACCTGCTATTAAATAAGTTGAGTAAAATTGAATAAAACTATATGTGTTATTGTAATTGGTATTATGCGTGTGAAAAAGTTTTTGCTGTGATTTTGACTTTTTCTATTTTGCTTTCGATCGAATTAACAGTAATTTCACACCTCACTACGTTCGATGTGAAAATACTTTCATTTTGATCTTTAACAAACCAGAAAAAATAAAATTATTATGATTTTATCTAGAAATTTATAAATAATGATCAGTCTCAATTTTTTAAATACTTGTTACAGATTTAAATTCAGCATTACATTTCCAAGAAAAATTAAAAACTTGAAAATTATAAAAACATTTATTTTTGGGGCGAATTCTCCGATATTAAATCGCCAATTCGCAACCCTATGGACGATTTAAAATTTTTTTAAGGTAAAAACGCAGCGACCTCCGGTGGGCGGTTGGCTGAGTTCCAATATTGATCACCAGCATGGTCACATCACAATAAATCATCAAGCTATAGCCATATTTCAGACAGGAAATTATTGCAATTTTTGAACAGGTAAATTACTCAATGTTAATAATAGATATATATTTATAAAAAATTAATCGTCTTTGCAAGCAACAAACACAAAAGGAATCGAGTTCTTGTCATAAACTCTGATTTTTCCAAGTCTATATCTTTCCAACCCGATGTCGTAGACCTTTGATATTTCAGCCTGTGAAATCTATCAGATCTATAAGTTTAAGCATGAAAGTATCAAAGGTTAATACCATCAGGTTGCAAAGATATAGTGATGAGAATATTTGAATTAGTGGCAACATCTCAGTTTCTTTGGGTAGATTTTAATTAGACCATTCGATAATAGGAAATATATTTTTAATAAAAAAAATCTTAAAATTAAATAATAACTTTTTCTTTAGTCCGACGTTTGTACTAGTCCGACGTTTGCACTCTTTGCACTAGTCTGACGTTTGTACTATCTGACGTTTGTGGGTCCGACGTGTGTACTGGTACCGTCTCTGAAGACTCCAGTTTAGTTCTGTAAGGTAAAGAAAAACGGTCAACCCCCACCTCCTCCCATCCCACTATGTAAAAAAGGTATTCCAGAATATGTTTAATTATTGGAACTAGAAAACATTAAAAATAGTAAATTGCTATGGAGTAGGCATTTGCTACAGGAATACCTAATTTGAACATTATTAAAGAACAATTTTCAAAACTCAGAACTCAGCAAAACTAAACAACTCTGTCCATTTCTATAATCATTATGAAAATAAATCTAAAAAGTAAATAATAATGTTAAGATTTTGCAACGGTCGATAAATTGTATAGAGTACGCATTAATATTTACTATGTATACAGTTTTAAGCTGGTCTTGTTGTCATTTGTCAATTTCTTTTGCACATTAACTACCAAGCAATATTTCAACTTGCACAAACTATCAGATAACCCTTGATACTCTGGGTCCTACTGAGGAGGGAGATTGGGAGGGATAAATTATAGTATTATAGCTTCTATTTTCAAGATAAATTGATTTTTAAAATTCTTCTTGAATTTCATTTTAACATTCTTCGTTTGACTGATTTTTGATTTATTCAAATTTTAATTATTTCCTTTTTTATTTTTCTGGAATTTTTTGTTTACATAAAGACAAATTTGGGTAATTATTTGGGTGCAAGTGTCTTACTTTTTCAAGATAAAAAAGCAAATTCGTTGTTTAGATTTCATTTTTTCCCTAAAAAAATGTGAATAGAACGCATGCACATTGCACCGAACTTTTCTTTTCAAAGGTTTCTTTTGAACTCCACAGGTCACATCATGAGCACTGCAGAGACCGAAACATTTTAACCATATGGTCTTATGAAAACTTATAAAAGGGTTAAGAACAATTTCGTAATTTTGGCTGACCACTTCTTCAAAATTAATGACAGAGGTATAAATATATATATCTTGCACTAAAAATCAATATGTGCCACGAATCCTATTCATTCAACCATGAGAAAGGAGAAGTTAAAGGTCAGTTTTTTTTAATCATTTAAGAGGTTTGATTTTCTGATACTTTTCAGTTAATATTCTTAACGAAAAAAAATTCGCTTATTTTGCTTTTTTTTTGGTGATTTTTCTAAAAAAAAATTTAATTAAAAATGTTAGAGGACAAAGGAACTGAACACTTGACTCAAATATTTGGGATTTTAACGGCAAACACACCTTCATGGTATTATAAAGTTGATTGTTCATAGTTTTAAATAAACAGCCTCCTTTTTTCCTAAAAAGGAGGTTTGCATCCCCCTTTAAAATAAAACTGCACTTGGCATAATCTTCCCCTGATTAATTAAAATATTAGCATTTTATAATATTTTTTTTAAATCATAGAATCTCAGACCATTATTGATTTGTGACTTGTGTGCACGTGTGTTCCCTCAAACTATATTTTCGAAATATTTGTTTCAAGCAGTGAAAAAAATGTCTTAGAACTTCTTCATAGATTCAAAGATTTTTAAAAATCAAATTTACACTTTTAAACATGTATTGATTTTAAGACATTTTATATTTTTGAATCTATAACAATTACAAATATGTGTGCAATTTAGTAAACAGTAAGTTTGTCTGAAAAAGTTAAATTTAAACAATACCATGTTTGAAATTTACATATTTTAAACCAAGAAAAGTTTTAATTCGCCTAAAACTGACAAAACCATTTTTCAGTTTAGAAATATCTCTGCTGGTAAAGTTAAAAAAATGCTTTGGAAAAGGTAAATACTGAAATTTTCCTTTTTATACCTGATTAAATGTATCATAAATAACCTGCGTTTACTCCAGGGTTGTGATTCTGGTTTTAACAAGCCTAATTATCTGGAACTCTAATGCCCAGACACTTTACATTAGGGATGCTATATCAGAAAAGAGATTAATCAATTAATCAATTTTGTTCACAGTAAAATGAAGTCCTTCTACAAACATCAGTGATCCACTCAACCTTAGAAATATTGCATCAAATATTGATGTTGGGCCAATTTAAAAAGCCTTCCCCTGCTTGACCTATGCTTTTGACTCTTTTGACCTTGCCAATCCAAGTATATCTGGTTATGAAAATCCTGAAAAATTCTGACTAACGTCATGATTTTCATGTCAAAATAAAATCTCAAATACTTTATGTGAATTTTTGTGAAACATTAACTTTCCTGGCCATTTTACCAATCATTTCTATCTAGTATGGTTCTTTAATTCTTTTTTCAAAGTTAGATTTTAATCTTTTATAAAACTTTTTTTGTCATCAGCACCAAGAATATATCAGAAACATCCTTCTACGCTCACCTAACTAAAAGCAGTAAAGTTCAATCTATTAAGCAATGTGGAATTCAGTGCAGTCACTTGGATCATATTCATGGATCTTTTTGTAATGCTTTCAGGTATAATGTTTATTGTATTGAAGCTTTTACTTTTAGATTTGAATTAAAGTAAAATAAAAAGGCATTAATTTTATAATTCTGAATAACAAAGGAATTAAGTCCTTGCCACAAACTCAAATTTTCTAGTCTTTAAATCTTTGCAATGGAATGGTTGACATCTGTAATATTTTAAACTTAGATTACTTGATTTAACATAATTCATAGTTTGAAATATTTAATATCTACCCAGGACATCTAGGGTTGCAAAAGATGGAGGGATTTGAAAATCTGAGTTTTTTGCAAAGTCTCAATTTCTTTTTAAAGATTAATGACTCAATATTTAGCAATATCTTAACCTTATATTAATCATTCAAAAGTTGATTTCTAGTTATGACAAGAACTCTAAAGTGTGTGACCTGGCAAATCTGACATTTCTTGAGGATCCAGCTGCTGGTGAAACAGAAAAAGCAATCATGATTGATTTTGAATCTCCGCCTAGGATTGACAAGATATGTCGTGGTGGAGAGCATTGTTGTAATAGAGGGAAATGGAGACAACCTGGAGGAAGGTGGGATGAGGAAGATGATTGTTGTGAAAAGCGATGTACTACAGAACATCCATGCGATGAGGGCGGGGGACACTGTGATTCTGACTCTGAGTGTAAACACAGCGGGCAGGGTTGGCTTAAATGTGGAGATAACAATTGTCTTAACACCACCTTCTTTCCAAGACATATCTTTCCAAGAAATTCTGAAACATTTGACTTCAAATCAGATGATAATTGTTGTTACAAGCCATGCAACAAGCGTTACCATCTGTGTGGACAAAATGAGGTTGGATGTCAAGATAATGAGGATTGTATTTCTGGACATTATTGTGTCAAAACAGCAGTACAACCATATTGTTCTGAATTGAATGAATGCTCTCCAAACAATGGCCATTTTGAAGGTTTATTACACTGTGGACGTAACACAGTTTGTGAAAATTCAATTGGGAGCTTTACTTGCACTTGCAATGAAGGTTTTGAAGATTTTGCTGAGCACAGTGGTTGCATTGATATAGATGAATGTAGAGTTGGAACTGATAACTGTGGTGCTAACTCTAACTGTTGGAATTTTCCAGGAACCTTTGTTTGTACTTGCAAGGTTGGTTTCACTGGAGATCCTGTAGCAGGGTGTACAGATATTGATGAATGTGTAAACAATGATTGGCATAATTGTAACAATTTCCCTGGATATAATGCTGAAACATTTGGGAAAAATGGAATCAAGATTTTCAACATAAGCTCATCAGACATTGGAGATCAGAACCACCATACATTTAGATTTGAGGTTGCTATTGATAATAATGCTTGGTTTTATGTTTCAAATGCTGATATGACAATTTCCTATAGGGTTAATTTACGTATCCTAGGAACCGATATTGCAAGATGTGAAAATAAAAACTGTGTAAACTTATTTACCTCGCAAATAAGGCCATCACTGTCCTCCAGTACATTTAATCTATTCTTCATGGATATCTTTTATGATGTTTCTTCAGGAGACACTGTTATTACAGTTTCAGATAATAAGAACTCCAATTTATGTGTTGCCAACTATAAAGAAAGCATTCCATTGGTAATCAGCAAAATAGGAGTTCAGAATAATGGACTTGGTGAAGTAGGATATTGGAGGAATTTAAGAAAGAGTGTGCTCCAGCAGCTGTGCATAAACACAGTGGGAAGCTTTGATTGTAGGGATAATACTGACGAAATGATTGCTATTGGGTTTGGTGGTCATACTACTGATGGATCTGTTTATGCAAACCAAGTTACTGTGTTCACAAATCAGAGATATACATGTGTTAATCACAAAATTGATGATATTCAAGGAAGACACAGTCCGGGTATGGCAGAATTAGATGGCTGGTTGTATGTTTGTGGAGGACTTCATACTGGTGCTTCTGATCCATTAGCTGACTGTAAAAAGTTTGACCTAAATTCAAATAATGGAGCATGGACTACTACGCTAAACTTGCCTAGAAAACGGAGACATTTCCAAATGTTAACTTATCAAAACTCAATCTTTATTGTTGGTGGATATGATCACTGGAATGGTGGTTCAGGATGTATAAATACATTGCATGAGTTTAATCATCAATCAAATATATGGACATCTAAAGCAAACTTACCATATCCAATTCATCGTCATTGTTCTGTTGCTGATGTGGAAGAGGATAGAATATGGATGATAGGAGGTCATGAATGTTATGTAGGAGATAAAATGGGAGTATACTATTATTCAGTCTCAAAGAACGAGTGGGTTTTTCATAGCAACCTTATTGGAAATCAACAAGTCATAGATCCTAGTTGTGGAATCATCATGAAGACTACTGGAGAGAAATGGTTGCTTGTTGTTAAAGGTTGAAGAACAGAAGCAGTGATTTATTATGATCTTTCAACCAATAGTGGATGGAAATGGGCAAGCAATTTGTATGGTAATGGACGCCAAAACTTAGTGGTGATGATTACTTTATCCCCATTTGATGCATTTTTAATGGGCTCTACAACTACAAGATACGGCAACAGTCTAAAGAATATCTTTGAATTTAACCAAGAGACAAACAATTTTGAAGACAAATACTATTACCTTCAAAATGAAATGAATGCAGGTTATTGGACAACTGTTAAAAGATCTCAAAATTTCAAAGCTCTTCAAGACTGTGTGTCAATAAGAGCTTATGCTGCTGTGTGCTGGGGAGGTCACACAACCTCTGGTTCAGATTACCCAGACACCTGGAGTGTTCTTCTCAGGGATAGGTTAAGGAAAGGAGATCCTCGTCTTCCTGCAACTTGTCACAACAAGATTCCACCTTTCTCTCCTGGTAGATTTGCAACTGGTGTTACAGCGGTGGATTACCTGCTGTTAGTTTGCGGGGGTCATAACTATGGAGGTCCATACCTTAGTAGCTGTTTTTCTCTCAACACTAATGAGTATTCTCCTGAATGGAGCACAATGGCAAGCATGCCTATCAATAGGGGTTATTATGAGTTTACTACCTATGGTGATGCAGCATTTGCAATTGGAGGTCATAATGGTGGAGACCTTACTCAAGTAGACAGATGGACAACATCTAATGGATGGGAAACAATGGCATCTTATCCTGTACCCATACATAGACATTGTGCTGTGTCTGACCCAGGATATGACAGAATATATTCAATGGCAGGAAATTCCCGCTCTAATGCTTATTATTATACAATTTCTACTAACAGTTGGTCATCCATGCCTTCTCTATACTGGTCAGGGAATAACATGGCCTGTGTTATCATCAGACGAAGAGCAACTGGGAATAAAATTATTGTGTTGGTTGGAGATGGCATTTTGAGACAACAGTATTTTGATCTCACTGTTTATGAGGCAAATGGAAGTGGAACATGGATGACCATGGCAGATCCTCAATACACCTCATTTTTTTCTGCTATTGTATCACTGACACCATATGAAAGCTATGAGGTATAATTTTAACCAGGGTGTATACAGGATTTTTGGTCCACAGCAGGGGTGGCTTAGGCACATTTGGGGGCTGAAATCCCCCCCTCAAGACATAAAGGACCCTTGCAACCACTTTTCTAGGTGCTGATTGTGGACTAATCCCTCCCCCTTGTATATGCCCCTGATTCTGAAAGGGTTTGAGTTTTTGCCACTAACTCAAATTTTCTAGTTCCTATATCTTTGCAACCTGATGGTTCAAACCTTTTATATTTCAAGCTTAGATTATTTAATCCAACAGAAGTCATAGTTTTAAATATCAAATGTCTACGAGACTATGACATTGGATTGCAAAGCTATAGAGATAAGAAAATCAGAGTCTGTTGCAAAAACTCAAGCCTTTGCTTCGGAGATAAATGTTCTTCTTCTTTCTGAATGCAATAAATCTTAAAGAAAGAAACATGTATCTAAATTAATGATATAGTTTTTTCTTATTATTTCTTTTACCGTTTTTTTTAATATAATGATAACCTTAAAACTGTGGAATAAGAAGACGATATTGAAGAAAACTTATGAGTATCTATTGTAATAAAGCAAATAGTTTTACCATGTACACATCGAACATAAACTTAGTGGTTATACATGGGCCCATGTTTCATATTCATTGGATTATACAAACCAGTTGTTTTGCTCTTCCACAGTTTTATGGGTCTGACTGTAAATAATATACTTTTTATTAAGATGGGAGGAAAAACTAACAGACATGGATTCTCCACAAGAAACTTGTTCATGTGGAATCCAATAAATGAGCGCCATGAAGATATTGGTCTAAACCTTGTCCATCCTCATTTTCATGGAGATTGCACACTTATACCCGCAGATGCACATGTTCTGAAGGGTTGTAGTCTAGGATAAATGTTCTGAAGGGTTGTAGTCTAGGATAAATGTTCTGAAAGGTTGTAGTCTAGGATAAATGTTCTGAAGGGTTGTAGCCTAGGATAAATGTTCTGAAGGGTTGTAGTCTAGGATAAATGTTCTGAAGGGTTGTAGTCTAGGATAAATGTTCTGAAAGGTTGTAACCTAGGATAAATGTTCTGAAGGGTTGTAGTCTAGGATAAATGTTTTGAAGGGTTGTAGTCTAGGATAAATGTTCTGAAGGGTTGTAGTCTAGGATAAATGTTCTGAAGGGTTGTAGTCTAGGATAAATGTTCTGAAGGGTTGTAGTCTAGGATAAATGTTCTGAAGGGTTGTAGTCTAGGATAAAGATGTAAAACCTAGAAAATATTTTAGAGGTTTGTTTCAATCTGAAAAGACGACACAGCAAATTACAAGACGCAACTTTTAAAGATTTAAATCTTTTGATGTAAAAAAATTTAATCGTGCAAGATTATTTATTAATTTATAATCTTTAAAATTATCTCTTGTAAATTTATTTGAAAAGAAGAAGTAAAATGTGTTACTAATTAAAAATAATTTATGAATCATTTCAGAAACTTATGCTTACAGTCTACAGATGAAAAATTTGTAATTTGCACAGTTTAGTAATGAAACGATATATGTAGGTTTTTTTTCACCCAAAATGAAAGTTTTGAAAATTTCAAAAATTTCGATGTAGTTTGGGTAAAATTGAACAAAGAAACTAAGTACTTGCCACGAACTTTATTTTCAAGTACTTAAACTGAATTCCTTTGATATTTTACACTTAGTAGTTTTTTTAAGTCAAACTTTGAAGTTGCAATGTTAACACCATCAAATTGCAAAGATACTTAGGGCTTAATTAGAACATTAGAGATTGAGACAAGTATTCAGTTTCTTTGGCATGTTTCCGCACTGATGTTGAGTTCAAAATGTTAGCTCGCAAAATTTAATATATTTACTATGCACATAAACTGGAAAAAGGATAACTTTATAAAGGGAGGAAAACGTCCCTTTATACAATGCAGGTCAATTTTGGACCTTTAATATCAGTGTAATGTAATTTAATAATAACAATAATTTTATGAACTCATAGATTATGTGAAAGGTATATATTGTGTTATGCATTTTTAGCACAGATTTGAGCATTAACAATATTAAAGGAAAAGAGTCTTTGCTACAAACTTAAAAGTTATAATCTCTATATTTTTGCAACCTTATGGTGTAGACCTTTTATATTTAAAACTTTAAATATGTGATACCAGAATTCATTGTTTGAAATATCTGTAGATCAATACGACATTGGGTTGCAAAGGCATTTGGATTAGAAAATCAGAGTTTGTGGCAAGGACTCAATTCCTTTGCTTATTTATAATATATATACATATTTTAAACTATTATGAACACTTTGCACTACCAGCTATGCCATGGAAGATTCAGATATCTCCTGTTGTCTTGAATTCAAAAGTGAATATTTTATGTTAACAGCTAAAAGATATTTATTTCACAAACCCCCAATTTGTTAACAATTGTAATCTTATTTAAAGTTTATTTTGAATATTTTTATTATACATTTTTTTAATGCGGTTATTTTGTTAAGTCTGTCCCATAAAACATGAAACTTAATCGTTATCATATTATAACCACTTTAAAATAATTAATGCTCTGTAACTTAGTTTCGAGGTTTTTTTTGAGGTTTTTTTCCCGGTTATTTTGATATTTAAACATTTTGACAAGTGAAGGTATCAACCTTGACTTGACTCTCCTGTGCACATACGCCTTGTATCAATTTGACGAAGTTACCACATTTCAGAGCATGGTCGAACTGATTTAGTTTTGTATTCAAAAATAAATATTTTGTAACTAATCTTATTTCCTTTTAATTTATGAGAAGAATCTTACATTGTAAGGATTTTAAAGGGACTGTCAGCGTTGACAAATTAATGAGATGTATACTCTTCCCCCTGAAAAATTGAGGAGATTACTGCAAGATAAATTCTTTTTTCTACAGTAAAAAGAAATTTGTGTGATGAATTTTTCGTCCAATTTGGGCGCAATTTTTTAAACGCTTAATTGTTTGCTCGCCTCTGCAAATTTCTTTTTCGCGCAAAAATGCAGAATTCAACGCAAAAGGTTGGGGAAGTTGAAATCACATTTGCGCGAAATTACGCATTTATGCGTGACAATTTTGATTTGCCGGAAACCTAGAGTACAGTGTGAACTCGTCTCAGCTGATGGAGCTGATGTTACAATTGTGTCTCTCGAAAATATCAAAAAAATTTTATTCAATGCGGTTTTCAAAAATTTAAATGAATTTTTTTCATCTTCTTCGACTTCTAGAAAGTAAGTATTAATATTTCTAAAATATTAAACAGCTTACAAACAAAGGGTTAATTACAAGCTGAAAATTGAAAAGCCAAACTCAAAAGTAAAGGGTACTGTTCTGCTTTGAATCGGAGACACCAATTTACAAATGAAAAGTCTCTTGAAAGTGCGCCTGCAATCCCTTTAACTCAATATTAATCAAACAGCAATTTACTGTAATTATGCTGAGGTCACAGTACAATATCTTTTCTTCTTTTTAAGAGATAGAATTTGGTCACGAAAACTTCGCAGAGGGGCGTTAAGTAACTTAATGTCTCTCTGTTACGAATCATAGGTTAGATATAACGGTAACAAGGCGGTATATATTAAAAAAATAACCTCTTAAATGAACCTTTCAGGGGAGGGGGGGGATATGCAGATTCAGAATTAAATAAAGTAAATAAAGGTTAGAAGGGAGATTGAAAAGAAAAATTTTGTAAAAAATTTAAATTCGCTTAAAAATTGTATCTTCTATGTAATATGGCTCTTCGTTCATATGTATGTATAAGTATATGTCGGCTTGACATAATGCACTGAAATTCTGAAGAAAATCCAAGGGTACCAATTAAACCAATTAAAAAAATAAAACCTGATGGTTTATTTACAGCAATTTGTTGATGTTCTCTCGTTAAGATTAAAAAAAAATTTTCTTTAAATAAGTTTATTGATAGTTTATTAATCTTATAATTACTTCAGCATAAAATACAGGTTAAAACTGTAGGAGTAAGGTCGGACATTTTAAATACATTTACCTTAAATCCGATCAACATTAATCCATTGTATACATCTCTTTACATATTAGGTCAGGGGGCTTGACAGTGGTAGAAAAAATATTGATTTTATTTAATTTGTACACTGAATGTATTCTTGGTAAAAAAAGTTATCAACATTTTTACACATATAAACACCTAAAATTTTTATTTTTTTTACAATCGTTTAAGCTGTGTACAAGAGCCAAGGGGGTGGTGGGTTACATTAAATGAGATCAAATTGAGCGATAATTTGTCTTTCGAGGACTTTTTAAAACATTAAACCACTCATTTTTACATTTTCGGAGCCTAAGTAAAAAATGGTAAATACAGACATGATAACCTACTAAACAAACGAAACTATTTACACATATTTAAAAGAAAAGCAAGATGTACAATGCGAGATTAAAATGCAAGTCGCTCTTTGGCGCTAAAATGATAAAATAAAATGTCGTCGTAGAGTTGATAAAAACAAATTAAAAATTGATCTCGCAAAATAATCAAACTTAGCACAAACTTATAACTAAGGCATAACATAATATTTAAATAGTATTTAAAAATACGCAATTTGTTGAAAATGATCGACCTTCGGCTCAATTCTTAAAATGATTTTAATTTGTACTGCAAAAAAAAATCTTTAAAAAAAACTTGGGTATTTCTTTAAAAGGAGTTTTAACGATAATAGATTTTTTCTCTTATAGAGTCTTGTTATCGCTTTCAGAACCCAGAATACTTGAATTGTTTACAACAAATAATACTTATCAACTATAATGTTATGATATAAAATATATAAAATACACGGAAAAGCATAAGACCCGATGTGCTCGGGCAATTCTTGCACAAAAAAACTAAATTAGAATGTTTTTCATAAAATGTTAAACATTAAATACTTATCATTAGCTACTGAAGTTACTAGAAGAAAGTGGGGAGGGAGTCAATTTTACTAATTCAAATACATAAGAAAGTTTTTTTTTCGCTATCAAGTATATAGATATGTCCACATTAATAAATATTCTGTAGAAGAACATTTAAATAACTTATTAGTAAAGGTAGTAATTTGTAGGTGGTAGATCACCGAATAGTCTAGTGGGTAGAGGCAAGGACAGTACAGTACAACTAAGTTTGAAGTGTACTACAGTATCAATTATGTACCGGCCGGATGGTAAACTATGATTTCTCCTAAAAAAAAATTAAAGTTAATTGTGAGAAATGAGTTAGTTAGATGCAAAAATCGAATATTAAAATTGACCAAAATGTAAGACGACTAACAATTCAAGGTTCATTCTTCATAGACAATATAAATAGTGTTCTTTCGCTACATTTCCCAGTGGTGACTGGTATAATAGCAGAGGGGGGCTATGAGGGCTAAGCCCCCCCTGGACCAGTGAACTGTGAAATCAATTGATTTAAGGGGCTTTCAGACCCCAGCAGGTGCAGATCCCCCCCCCCGAAAGAAAAAAAATTAAGCCTCCTGGACAAACTCCTGAATACGCCCCTGTATAATAGGCCCATGCCTGTATTGCACTAAATTTTTTTAAAGTAGTAACGTAAAATAAGACGACATTTAATGTCGTCTTTTGACAGAGCATTTTTAACCTTCTTTACATTTCCTGGGCAGTGTAAGAGTTTTTTACCTGTATTTCCCAGTCACATAGTAAGAGGGGGTCCAATTGGTCCCAGCTCAGTGTTATTCTTGAGGAAATATTTCTCCAGTTTGGCAAGGATATGCTTCCCGTAAGTGTACTTACGCAGGGTAGAGATATGGGGTCTAAACGACACAATCAATCAATCAAACAAACATCTTTCAGTTGATAACCAAAAATAAAAATACTAACTTTTCCCATTTAAATAAATCCCATCAAACTTTTTCTAGAAATATATTGAGAGAACGCTAAAAGCAGGGTTAGGATTTATTAACAAATGAACTAGTATATTGGTCAAATTCATCACAAAGGTAAAAAATTCTTTCCTTATTTGTTAATAAACAAATAGGCCAATTTTCTCTCAAAATTGGTGGATATTCATTCCAAATAAGATTTCCTCCCTAAATTGGTGGATATTCCTTCCAAACATGAAAATTTCCTCCCTTGGATATTCCTTCCAAACATGAAAATTTCCTCCCTAAATTGCTGGATATTCCTTCCAAACATGAAAATTTCCTCCCTAAATTGGTGGATATCCCTTCCAAACATGAAAATTTCCTCCCTTAATTGGTGGATATTCCTTCCAAATAGGACTTTCTTCCCAAAATTAGTGGATATTTCTCCAAAATGTTTTTCAACTTTGAAATTGGCAGAATTTTTACTACGGAACGACTGGCTAGATTAAACTCCTATTTGGAAGATGTTTCCCCTCAACTGTAAGATTTTCCCTCCAAAATGGCAGACCATTTTCCTATTGTAAAGTTGACAGATTTTTTTCAGACTTGAAATTTGCAGGTAGCCAGACCTAAATTGTATCTGTGCGGACTGAGAAGCCCTGTATTGTAAATTGTAAAAACCTGATTTTGTGCATGAGGATTTTCCGTTGAGTTGGCTCAGCGACATCTATCATCTTCTGTACAACATAGTTGGCGTACTGATCCTTCATCATGATATGCAGCGGAGAAGACGGGCTAAACAATAAAAAAACATGTAAATAATAACAATAAATGTTAACAATAACATTAAATGTACACAATAACAATAAATGTGAACAATAAAAATACATGTAAACAATAACAATAAATGTAAACAATAACAATACATGTAAACAATAGCAATAAATGTAAACAATAACAATACATGTAAACAATAACAATAAATGTGAACAATAACAATAAATGTAATTAATAACAATTAATGTAAACAATAACAGTACATGCAAACAATAACAATAAATGTAAACAATAATAATACATGTAAACAAAACAACAGATGTAAACAATAAAAATAAATGTAAACAATAACAATAAATGTAAACATTAACAATAAATGTAAAAAACAACAATAAATGTACAATAACAATAAATGTAATTAATAACAATAAATGTAAACAATAACAATACATGCAAACAATAACAATAAATGTAAACAATAACAATACATGTAAACAAAACAATAAATGTAAACAAGAACAATAAATGTAAACAACAATAAATGTACAATAACAATAAATGTAAACAATAACAATTAAATGTAAACGAAAACATAAAATGTAAGCAAAAACAATTGTTGAACAACACTAAAATGATGAAACAAACAACAAGACTAACGCTTAATCAATAAAAAAACTTAAAAAACTACAAAGAACAAAAAAAATGTAAAAAAAAAACCAATGCCCTAATCAATAAAAATATGTACCCACACAACACACCTTTACTAGTTTTTAGCATCGATTGATAAAATCCAATAAAAAATGTGAAAACCAACACCAAAGGTTAAATAATAAGAAAAAGTATGAACATCATCAATCTCAATATCTTAACAATAAGAAACAAAGATATACATTATACAACCAAACCAAATGACTAAAAAATATTAAAAACACCGATGGCTGAAAAATCGGTTTTGTTTTTACCTGTCCGAGTTAGCAGTACAGACTTCATCGATAAGAAAAGCCCTCTCCGCTCTGCTCGCGTTCTGCACACATTTCTCCACAACGTTACTGGCAAACTTGTGCTGGGACAGTGGGAGGACTTTCCCGCGTACACCGTTCACTGAACAATATGTCAATACAAGAACTGATGGAAGGATTCTTACTTGATGAAGGGGGTAATTTCAAGCTGATTTTAAGTTAACGTCCAAAAAAAACATGATCTGTTACATATTGAATAAAAACAGGCCATTTTATTTCTAATCTGCAAGAAATACTCAATTTGTTTTGATTTTTTTTAATGTTTTTTCAAAAAAAATTTCCACGGGCAACGCCGGGCCCTTCAGCTAGTATATATGTATATATATATGAGGATGACACACGAAGAAGTGAAAGTCATAAAATCAAAAGGTGCATAGGTTGTCTAGATGATATCAACCCCAAGTTTTGAAATGTAAAAACATTGTTGCTCTAACTTGGTGGAAGTAATTTCCAGAAAAAAACTGGATATAGTACATTCTGTAGAGACTGCATTTAGTTCTAACAATTGAGATAAAAGGCTGAAATTTTGCAAGCAGCCTCTCATTGTGGACGTCTACACGGATCTCACAGAAAATTTGGTATCGGAGGTCATTGGCCTACATCAATAATCAAGATTTTGCCTGTAGATGATATTTAGATTGCAATGATATAATATAGGTTGTACAACATAAAATAGAAAAATTGTACTTAAACTTTTACATACCAATCATAGATTTATCCTCCAGCTTTCCATGATCCAGTACATGTTGTACAACGTAATTGCCGTACTGATCCTGGAGCAGCTGTTCAGTATTAGCGTGGATCTCGTCCAGGATTCCTAGGAAAACAATATCATAAATGAAAAAAGTTTAACATTTTTATTGATATAATTTTGACAAAAAGACTACGATCCTTTCTCCATTTTTTGGCTATCAAAGCATATTTTTCATATTTTCTAATTCTAATTTGAATTAAAAACAGGATCAAGGTAATATTAATAATTAAGTTTCACAAATAAGATATTTTTACAATTTGATATTTTTAAAATTTGATATCTTTACAATTTCTTTAACAGGTTAAATCTGTAAATTGAAAGCAAGTAGTCTACTCAGCTGATGCAGAAACCCTTTAAAGTTAAATTATGTAGATTAAGATATAATAGAGAAGAAAGAAAAGAACTAAATTAAACCAGAGAGAGATTAACGTTCATTCTGTATTATAAAAGAAATAAAACGTATACAAAAATGTTTCAACAAAATTCTGCAAGACAAAAAATATCAATATTTCATGAAACATTAAGAGTTCTGAGGCCGAATTTAAAGAATTTGAGCCGCGGCTTTAATTTGAGACGCGTCTCAAATATGGATGGTTCCACTTAAAATTGTATTCAATGTTTCAAGATTTAAGCCGGAGCTCAATTGTAACCGGTTTTTGGTGGATTTAAGACGCGGCTCAAATTCATTAAATTCGAACACAGTTGAAAGAACTAAGATATCTCTTTCAACGATAATCAGACAAAGGTTTCAAGGGTACTATAGTGAGTGGAATATTCCACTCTGTAAAATGGCGGGAGATTTAAAATATGCAACCAGTAGTGCAAAAACAAGGAAACCCCGTAAAACTGTTGAAGAGGAAAGGAATATATCTGTTGTAAAGCAAAAGTTTTAGCAATAGCTTAAAAATCAACTTTAGTGTAATGGGTGGGCACTGGGCACCATTCATTGTATTCTTCTTCATTGGATCATTTAAAATACTATTTACTTAGGCCTCACAGCTGTCATCAATTCCACAGTTTAAGGGGTCTGACTGTATAAAGAAATACCTTGTTTCTGTTCATGGCTGCAGTGTTCCAAGATCCTCTGAATGACACGACATCCATAGGGATGAGTGGATAGACTCACAACTTGACCACGGAAGGAATCAATAATGAACTAAAACAAAAACAAAAACGTAGAAAAATTCTAATATATATCTGAAGATCAGAAAACAAACTCAAATGCTACTTAAATGAAGGGGGCATAGAATTTTACCTTAATAATAAACTTATATTAAAAATGTATTTCTTTCTAAGAACGCTGTTCTAATTCCTCGTTTAATTTTAAGAAATGAAATGCATCATGAATTGTAATTATACTTTATAATAAATTACAATTTTAGTTCCTGGAATTTTGTATTTTAATTTCTTTTTAAAGCAAACTTATAAAATAAAGAAGATTGGGCTCAGCAGTCAGCATTCATCCTTTTGATACCTCTCCCCCCAAAATTCATTTATTAACCTAAAAAAATCCTTATAACAACATACTAACCTTTTTTTTTGAGGGGGGCGGGGAGGGATATTTTCTTGGTGGCTTACCTGAAGACAGGAAGAGTCGACGGTCTCAATACATTTCTGAATCACGTGGTTTCCATTCTGATCCTTGACACACTTCAAGATATTCCCATCCAGCTCCTAAACAATTATAATATCAAATGTGGAGCAGAGTTAATGTCGTCTTCAACGCCAAGGAAGAAATCCACCAAATTCCGACAAAATGTTTAATTCCAATTAAATTGTTCATTAAATCTCAACCCTATAATTCGTTCAAAGTCAAGATCGAGTTTGAAATTACTTTTGGACGTCTTATAGAAATGAACGAGACTTTTATATTCCCCCCCCCCTGTAAATATAAAGATGATAAATACAGGAGAGATATAGTCAGATGAAGGGTAAGGGTTTAAGAAGGATAAATGAAGAAGTATATTAAAAACCATCGATATATGGATATAATTTAATACTCCACAATACAACAAGGTAAGATATGATAAGGGAAGGATCTAAAAACCCTCCTTGGAGAGCCCAGACCGCCATCGGGGCTAACGCCAATAATATAATACACAGGTAATACACGTTAACTATCTTAAAAGAAGCAGATTTTAATGTTTATCATCATGTTTAAAGGGACTGTAAACGTAATTTCAAGTGACCCTTTATACAAAGATGACAATGCCCAATTTATAACGATAACCTTATATGCTGTGTCGGATCAAGAATGAACTAGATGCAATGTTTTACTCTTTAAAACTGATTATTTATAATTGTGGTTCCTCTACAAAAGTTAGAAAAGATGTTTATTTCTACTGAAGAAGAACGTATATGAATCATCAGAATTATTCAATACTTCAAAACCTAGGAAAACGACAAAATCTGCCACATTATTGATCAGAAGTTTTCAAGGGTAACGTTGTGAATCGGGCATTGCCATATTTGCACGGAGGGTCACTTGAAATTATTCTTACAGTCCCTTTAAGTACATAAAATGCCGTATGTATTAAATATAAAGTAAAATCTATCAAATTTAAGCGTTATCCTAAAATGAAAATCGATACATTTTACATGGAAAATCATGTATATCGTGAGACCTAGAACGCTTAAATCTGCAAATCTCTGTAGTTCTGAACTAACATGTTAAAATGTTCCTGTTCCACTTCTTAATATAATATAAATCTTCCCAACTCTATCCAAATATTTCCAACTCTGTCCAAATCTTCCCAACTCTGTCCAAATATTCCCAACTCTGTCCAAATATTCCCAACTCTGTCCAAATCTTCCCAACTGTTCCTAATCTTCTAATAAAAATGTTAAATAATAAACCCAGAGCATTTTTTACTTCATAAAAAAAATCTTGTTGGAGTTGTAGATGTTTTGTATATTGTAAATAAAAAAGGAGAAAATTAAGATTTAGTGCCGAACATAAAGCAGAAAATCTAAACTTACAGATAGATTTATTTCTCAGAATTTAGTCAAATTTCAGCAAATATAAAAACATGCACTGTTGTTAACCATAATCCAATGAGCTTACTCCGTTGCAAGATCTGGACTGTTGTTAACCAAAAACCGATGAGCTTACTCCGTTGCAAGGTCGTCTTTGGACAAGATTTTCTCCGGTGGCCAAACCAAACATTTATACCTCTGATAGATATGTAAACAACTTCACGCTTCAAATTCAGTTAAAATCCCAAAATCCCTTATAACTCGTGATTTATATATTTTTGCAACCAATTGTCATTTTAATTCAGATGATAAAATAATGTTTTAGCACTGTTCAATAATAATAAACTAATTATCCCAAACATTATCTTCGTACCCTATAAAATCGTTGTTAATTATTTTCAGGTTCGAAATATATATGGATTCATATTATTATCGTCTATGGGTCAGAACGAGGATAAGAAGGATATTATTGATTGTTCGAAAACTCTAGTTGACCGGGACCATTGGTTTTGGGAAATATATATCCTCTTGTTTTGCCTGGAAAATTGACTGCAATAGTTCTCACCGCACATTTCGAGATCCCCCCTTTTCAATTCAACAACTGTAGTGAGTAGTCTGTATAAGTCTATTTTTTATTGTCTCAGAAAATCTAATGGGTTCTAATTAGAAATAATTTGCCCTGTATTGGTATCAAAATAATAGTAAGGGTTAGTATTACTTAGGAAGTTTTGGACATTGGGCAATTTTAGGTTGGGTTGAAATAAAAAAATACGAAAGATTGCTAAAAAGACATATGAGAGGGGGGGGGACCAAATCCCCATCACATCAAATTACAAAAGTTATGCCTTGATAAAAACTATTATTCTAGAATCTTAAAAGATTTCGATTTTTGTTGAATTCAATTTGAGGTAGAAAGATCGAACAATTTTAGGATCATTTTCGATTAATGAACAAAGAATCCAAGGGTTTGTTTTCTGAAAGTTTAAGAGATAAAAAATTAACCTTGACTTCAACTTGACACAGCAAAAAAATAGTCTTATTCGCGTCAAGAAGACACTTCTAAAAATGATTCAACTCAGAATTGCTTCTGGAAAATTTGGCAGCTTTAGCCAAAATAATTTGGACTAATAAATGTCAAGTAAAATAAAAAAAGAAAGAAATGTTAATAAAATTCTTGAATAATAAGACGAGCTGCAGATTCTAGAAATAGTATAAACCAGTAATATGTAGCGATGGCGGATCGGATTTTTTTTAAAGTAAAAAATTCCACAATAAATAAATAAATAAAATGGTCAACCATCATCCCATGGGAGTCAGGGTTAAGGTCTCATCAAACCGTACCACCATATTGGTTGGCAGGGCGTCACTGGTCCATGTTTCAATGAAACAAAGTGTGGAGGGCCAGGCAAGAGTCAAGTTAAAAGGCGGGTTACTGCAGTTATCATATTTGAGTTTTTTAGAAAATATATTTCAGCCGACTCAGACCCTGTTCACTTCAAATAAGTATAAAAGTATATAAAGGGCCCGAAAACCGGGTTGTTAAAAAGAAACTTGAAATCCATATTCCCTTAGGATGGAAGAAAGACACTCAAACTGATTGAAAACCATATCGAATACTAGCACTGATTGGGAGATATACAGATAGATACAATATATAGATAAATATAGACAATATGGCCCAATATCTTAAATTCACAGATAAGGGGATATTAAACTTAAAATCTTTTAGAACAAATTCAATTATTCTCAACATTCAATATAAATCTTAATCTTTAGTTTTCAGTTTTAACTAATAATATATAAATAACTTGCAAATAAGGTATAACTGGAAATTTACTTTCGGTAAAAGAAATTAGCGAAAGAATAAAATGGATCCTACGAGCACTGGTTTCGGTTAATACCTGTATAATCATCTGCTGTTGATCTAACGGGATACTCTCTAAAGCTTTCTGAATTACGCGGCATCCGTACATCTGCAGCGCCAGGGGTTGAACATGCGTGCGCAACTAAAATAAAAGTAAAAAATAATTTCAATCAAGCAGCCAACCAACCAACCTTCAAATTATTCCATTGTCTAAAATGAGTTGGTCAATAAGTTTTCTTTTTCCGTTTTATCTACATAATAAAGCTCTTCGCTCATATACATATAACGGATAAGACTGCCAAGACGACGTGAAACTCATAAATGACAATTTCGCGATTAAATTACGTCTTCTGCCTTGAATACAGTCTTCTAATGGCTTAATTAATGGTTTGGGGAATCATGCATCTAAGGAAACAGACAGTATAATTTCTGTACAATCGTCTCTGAAGTCTATTTTTTGTGGGTAACCCCATATATGTCTATTTAAATACTAGCTTTAGCTGGCCAGACGGCTGAACGAAATTGGCTGACATTTTTTTAGGGAACCCATGGCTACCACAGGGGTAACATAGGCTAAAAAATTTGATTTTTTTTCAAATTCGAATTTTTATATTTAGAAATTATAATTTTTTTCAAGTATTTATAAAATTCCACGGGCAACGCAGGGCACTTTTCAGCTAGTATTGCATAAATGCAAAAGCTAAATTTTCCGTTGATATTTGTTTACATCCTCTTTAGAACTTAATAAATGCCCCATTCATCTACTCCTATGGGGATAAAAGCATCCATTTAACTCTACACATTCTAATATTTTTGATACCATTTTTAACTCTTATTACAAAACGAATGATGAACTATATATCTCTATCCACTTGTAAGTAGTATTTACATTCAAAATGGTATTTTTTATCATTTATGTCCTAAAGATTTTTTTCTTAAAAAATCAACATTAACAATTAAAAAAAAATACTTCTCAAAATTGAAAATAAATTGAATTTCCAAGATTTCCTTTATACAATGTATATATAAACATTAAATATAAAAATATATATATATATATGCTTATATCTGGGTTTTATATCCTCTTAACCACACCTGTCCCTTTACAGTTATACTGACACACAAGATATCTAGATACAAAACTTTTAAAAATCAATATTTCTCTTTACTTGGTAAATTTGACCCTTTTTATTTTGTGCAGGTCCTACAGACAGACAAAAATAAACAAATTTTTGTATCAATAAATTTTTGGGTAAATAAAATTTTTGAAAATCAACTTACAAAAACAACTGTTAAAGCTAAAATTATTTTAATAAAAATTATTTCATATTAATATTAGCTTGTTTTCAAGTTTCTAAAATAAAATTTCTTCAAGAGTATAAAATAAATTGTCAAAAATGCCAAGAACTAGAATTGTATTCACTTATTTGAAATGTTAAATTCAAGTTTTAAGATATTAAAGGGGCCGTTCACTTATTTGGGTAATTACATGGTGAACTAAACAGCCTAATAGCTATTTATTGGTATTAGTCTTACTTTTCAAAGATATCTATGGCCAGAGAAATAGCCGATTTATCGTTTAAGATGCCAGCTCAAAGGTACAATACCTTTGCAATCTGCATAGACACTATTTAAACGTTTTTATTCATTAATAACAGCCCAATAAGTCTAAAGTTATCATATTTCAATGACATCATGTTTACGCCATCTAAATAATTAAATAAGACATTCGTGTAAATATATATGTTGCGTATAGCCGGCCAAACGGCTGGACCGATTGGGCAGACATTTTTTGTGGACTCAGGGGTGGCCGGGGGTGTTTAAGGCTAAAAAATTGATTAAAAAAATACATTCCATATATAATAAAACAAGACATTCATATATAGAACTAAACGTTTTACGTGTTCAAGCATGATTTAACACGTTTATACAAAGACGACCTTTGCTCGCCGTCAAACCGGTTCCTAGATTCAAACTCGGGGATTCCTGTCAAATCAATCAATCCGTCAAATGTTTAAAATAAGTTATGGTATAAAAAAAGACAATTTAAAAATAACTTTGATTTTTAAAAACGATATTTACAATCAACTATTTGATACTACTATTAGTTGTCTTTGAAAATTACCAATGAATAGCTAATAGGCTATTTAGTTTACCCTCAGGCTTCAAATTACCAAAATAAATTAAAGGTTTTTTTTAGAAGAAAAAAGATTAACTCTACGCATTGCTATTTAAGTAGAAATTATACAAATTGTTTTTGTTAAGCAACTAGATATTGTTTACTGTCCACTGTGACACATTGAAGGCTTGTAAGCGTAATTTCAATTGACCTTCCATGAAGAGATTACAATGCCCGATTCACATCGGTACCCTTGAAACATGTATCTGATCGTTAATGTGGAAGATATTGTTTTTTTTTTTATACAATAAACATTGATACCCAATTCAAAGCTTTTAAGAGTACTGCAGTTAATCTTATTTGATGAAAGTAAAATGCCGCACTATACTTGTACAATGTACATGATACCAGTATTGGTACTTAATAATGTACACAAAGTTTATAAAAAAGTGTACTGCAGTTTCTGGGAAGAATGTAAACAACTGATATTACACAAATGTAGGCGACCTGTAGAAACAGAACGAGTTTTATCTAAAAATATGATATTGGTTTTTACACAAAATCTATATTCCAATTATTGAAAAATATGTGAACTAATGAATATTAGATAAATATTCCATCTCTCATTTGAAGGGGGGGGGAGGCCAAGGTAGAGGAAAAACTTACAATATTTGCTAAAATTTATCATATTAATTCAAATTTACCTAATCAGAACACAAAGTGTGTTTTTCTTGATTTAGGATTATGCATTTAACAAACAAAGCTATAAAGAGCTTCATAAACCGAATGCACTACTGTAAAGGTCATCACGCGGGCATAAAGGGATTACAGGTATTAAACTTTAAAACTGCTCCAAGAGAATGAAAAACTGTATTTTCGATAAGTTTGCTTTTATTACGTTAAGCTAATTTTTTAGAACGATTTATCTGAACAATTTTACTAATTGTTTTGAAAAATCGCTTTGGTTTTCATCTTTGGTCAGATGCATTTTACATGATGCAGTAAAAGCAAACTTATAAAGCATGACATTTTTAAATAGGAACCTCTTAAATTCATTAAGATCTTTAAAAGTCTAAAACTTAAAATGAATAGAAACGGACCCCAAAATTAAATAACAGATATTTATTGACGTATCAGTGCCCAGAAAGATTTTGATAAAACATTAAAGTTAACGTTTTTAAAAGTTGGAGAGATTAAACTTTAAAATATATATATATATATATTTCAAAACCCCAGAAACAGAAACTCGGTATTTGTTAAAAAATTGAAGAGGAAAGGACTATAAAGTGTTTCTCCCTTAGTCAGAGTGCAACTTAATTATTTACCAGAATTCTACGAATTTTAGAAATTATTTTATTTCGACTTACTACCAGGAACTTTAAGAAAAAACGAATATTCAAAACTTCCATGTGCTTTGTTTGGAAAAAATGCAAATAACAATAAAAATAAACCTGTTAAAATTCAAAATAAACATTGGAATTGTGTTTGTTTGACTATTTCTCATGGAATTTTGACTATTTCTCATGGAATTTTTTAATTTTTTTTTAATTACTTATGTTTTGTAGGTTTGCCAAACGCAAAATTTTATCAAGAATAATTTCTTTTATGAAATATTTAAGCAATACTTTACATTGTTTGCCAAGTATGTACAATTAAACGGGATTTCTCTAGAACAGTTTGTTAGATATATAGTTGGTAAAAAAGGCTTCAAATTTTGGAATCAACATTGGAAAGAAACTTATTTAACATGCTAATAGATTTATTGAACAATTTAAAAGAAGGTTAGAAGATAAAAACAATAACGCCCAACTTCAAAGATTTCGAAGTTAGAATTTTAAAAACTACTTTTTATCAGTTTTAAAATTTATTATTATTCCCCATTAAATAAGCATTCCAAACACACTAGGGTTAAATTTTTTTTAAAGAAAGAGAGATTTTCTTCCTTTAACAAGTAATCCTAACACACTAGGGTTAACAGATTTTGAAAAAAGAGAGAAAGATTTTTCAAAATATTTTTTTCCCTCTTTAACAAGCAATCCTAACACATTAACAGATTTTAAAGAAAGGAAGATTTTCAACAAAAAAATAAATTTTCTTCTTTTCTATTAAGTTACCTTATTGACGAGCTGTGATTTCTGATCTGCCGAACCAAATTCAAAAAACTTTTGAATAACATAATTTCCAAACACATCAGTCATCAGATTGTAGGCGTGAGGCAGAATCTCCTGAAAATTAATCTTAATTATTAATTTTAGAATAAATGTTAATCTCGTTAGTCTCCTCTCTTATGTTTTTTTTTAATTAACGGGACTATTGATGTAATTTAAAGAATATATATCTCTTGCCATGTCTGATTTACAATGATATCCTTTAAGATGAATCAGCTGCAGTTTTTTAGTTCATGCTGCAAAGAAAATAGAATTTAGCACTTGTTAAAAACGATATTATCTTCCTCAATGTAATTAGAAATTAAAAGGATACTGTAGTGAATAAGACATGCGAATCTTTTTAATGAAGGGCCGGCCTCCCTTGAAATTGCGTCAACAGTCCCTTTAAGAGAAAAGATCCATGTTAGTAGATGTTTGTGAATCTAAATAATCTCAATATGATCCGAGATCAAGAACTGAAGGAAACCCGACTGTCTAATCCAGATTTTCAGCTTAAAATATATTTAAACATTTAGCTAAACATCTTATTTTGAATAATTTTTGAATCGATTTTTTAAACCTGGAAAATTATATATTTATTAGAATAAAAAATTATAAACCCCTCGGCCCCCACATCCAACTTCTGGGAAATTATACAATCAACAGATTTATTTAAATTTTTTTCTTGAGTCAAGAAAATCTGTTAAAAACACAATAATTAATATTTTTTGATTATCCAATTTTATTTTGTTTTGAATTAACCTGAAACACTGCTTGCTTCTCTCCTGGTGCAGCCCTCTCTAGTTTCTGCTGGATAAATCTTTAAAAAATGTTTTAATTAAAAATTAATAAAATAGAAGACAGTTTCCACAAAGATAAAAATGGCTTCGCTTCAAAAAAAGAATGAGCTTATTTTTTAAGAGGTTTCGATTTAATTTTTTATCTTTCATTTTTATTTCTCCAAAAAATCCAAAAAGAGAAAAAATTTTGTGCTTCAAAATGCAAACATGGTTGGCAATATTTAATGTTTACCTAGATCCATGCTGATCCTGGCTAAACTCTACAATATGATTTGTGATATCTCTTAGCTGTAGATTAGGATACCGACTATTCCTAGTAATCATCATCATTATCATCATTATCATAATTATCGTTATTTTAATCATTATCATCATTATCATCATTATCACCATTATCATCATTATCGTCATTATCGTCATTATCGTCATTATCATCATTATCATCATTATCATCACTATCATCACTATCATCATTATCATCATTATCATCATTACCATCATTACCATCATTATCATCATTATCATCATTATCATCACAATTATCGTCATTAGCATCATTAGCATCATTATCGTCATTATCGTCATTATCATCATTATCATCATCGTCTTTATCGTCTTTATCGTCATCATCCTCATCATCGTCATTATCATCATTATCATCATTATCATCATTATCATCATTAACATCATTATCATCATTATCGTCATTATCGTCATTATCGTCATTATTGTCATTATCATTATTATCATTTTTATCAATATCGTCATTACCGTCATTATCGTCATAACGTCATTATCGTTATTAAAGTCATTATTATCATTATCATACTTGTCATCATTGTCATCATTGTCATCATTATCAGCATTATCATCATTATCATCATCAAAATAAAATGAGATTGCTAAAAATCATTTTTCTCTCCAACAATTTTTCATCTCCTTTCTCTTGGTTCTTTCATATAGAGCTAAACCTTCAATCTTTAAAGTTTGAATTGGGCGAAAACTTTATTTAAACATGGGAATAAATTTAAACAACTTCAGACCATACTAAACACAGAAAACCATATCTATCCATCTATCCATCTATCCCTATCCGTCCGTCCGTCCGTCCGTCCGTNTATCTGTCTATCTGTCTATCTGTCTATCTGTCTATCTGTCTATCTGTCTATTTGTCTATCTGTCTATCTGTCTATGTGTTACATAAAACTTGATAATACTTGTCTATCTAACTGTCTATCTATCTGTCTATCTATCTGTCTATCTATCTGTCTATCTGTCCATCCATCTGTCCATCTGTCCATCTGTCCATCAATCAATCTCCTGAACTACCTGAAGTCCTCCAGAAGTCTGGATCTATTGCTGTTTTTATCCAACCCAGCGGAGTTCTCTCGGGTTCGTCCTGAACAAAATAATTAGCTTGTATGCCGCTCTGCTGTTCTAAATTGTCTAAAACGCGTCTTAAAAGCCTAGTTTCAAAAACTGTTTTTTCTTCTACATACTTTTAGTTTTTTACTACCTGGCATAACATTTCCTCCAGGCTGACCGAAGAGAAGATTGGGCCCTAGAAATACAAATTAGAGTTTCAAATGGGCCTTGGAATAAATATTGCAATACAGGTTGGTCCGGGAATCAACGTTCGAACATATTATAATGGCCCTAGAATTAATTGGGCCAATATAAGAAGAAATATTGGGTCCTGGAATTTTAAAAAATTTTGGGCCCTGGACCCTGAAGTACATATTTAAATTAAAAGTTAAAAACACTAGTAAAGTTGGCTTTATTCCACTGCAGGGACATAAATATTTGATTTAGTGAGAAAAAAAGAGGAAATAAAATTTTAAATTTATAAATAAAATTTATAAGGTTACACTCACTTTTTTAAAGTTTATCATAATCATTTAAAACAAAATTCTAATATATAGGGTTTAGAGTATTATCATCATCACTAAGTGTAACTTTTATCATAAAAAGTATTGATTAAATCAATACCTCAACTACCAATTATCATATTTGAATTTGTAACACGGCCAGGGTATACAATTTTAGGAATAAAATGAAAATCAGTTATTTTCCCACATTTTTTTCCGCCGCTCCGTGCAAACATACAAAACTTATGGGGAAGAAAATGAGTTGTCAAGAAATAAAACACCCTTGTCTGTTTTTTATTTAAATATTTATTTACCAAGAGTAGGAGTTCTAGGAGGGAATATTCCTCCCCCGAGAGCAAAAGCTCTATCTACCCCTGCTCCAAGACGGGGGCGCATATCAAATAGCCCCAGGGGAGGCGGGGTCAGGGAGCCCCCTGAACCCCCCATACCAAGAGTAGGAGATCCAATGCTTCCTGAAAAAAAAAATAATCTTAAAAAGCTATTTATTTTTTATCTGCTTTTTGGTTTAACATTTCAAATTTTCGATTTTGTTCAGAAATATAAAACCGGTTTGATTGGAATATCTACATCACATAAAATCATGTTCTATTAATGAAAAAAATGAAGCAAAGGCTCCATTAAGATTATTTCAAAATAATAAAATTTGCGAGGAAATGTAATATTTACTCGCAGAAAATTTAGAATCTGGCTTAATATGGATTCCCATGAATTAAGAATAGTGGGATTAGTTGAAATTCAAAAATTTGTAGCGAACGAAAAAAACAGGAATGAGATTTTCTTATGGGGTCAATTATTAACGCCAACCCCCAACACTTTCCCTCCCCTTTATTCTGGAAAGGGGTTAAACTTAAGATACTGAGTCTTCCCACCCCTGCCCTCTATGGGTGTTAATAGAATGATAAATACGTTGGTCCTTCAAAGTAACTAAAGTAAGGAAAGAAGAATAAGGATTTCTCGGAAATTGCTTTCCTAAAAATTGAATAATTTTGTCATAAATCAAAAAGTGCGAGGACACAATGTCTAAACCCAATCCAAAAATTGAAAGCTTAAATCCAAACAATGTCACGTGGATAAAATTCTAACTGATAAAATGACGAAAAAAGGAAAATGGAATATTTAAACAAATAAATACAAATGCGTGAATGCACAACTAAAACATCGAGTAAACGAGTAAACGAAAACAAGTAAACGAGTAAACGAGTAAACGAGTAAACGAGTAAACGAGTAAACGAGTAAACGAGTAAACGAGTAAACGAGTATAAACGAATAAATGAATAAACGAATAAATGAATAAATGAATAAATGAATAAATGAATAAATGAATAAATGAATAAATGAATAAATGAATAAATGAAATATTTTACGAATAAAGGAATTAGTAAATTGACTGATAAAAGAAATTAAGAATAAACGGATAAACGTTTTAACGAATTGAAAAATTTAAAGCAAATTAACGAATAAACGATTAAGGCAATACTCTACAATTAGAAAAATAATTGAATAATCCTATTGACAAATTGACGAAAAAGCGAACCAATGAAAAATTATACACGAATAACCTAATATGCAAATAAACAAATAAACGAATAGGTGAAAAAACGAATAAACAAATTAAAGAAATTATAGATAACCGCATAAATAAAACACGAATTTACAAATTTGACAAAAATACCAAATTATTGAATAATCGAATAAACTAATTAAAATTAAAATAATAACGAACAAACAAACTTAAAATGTCAACTAAACGAATAAACGAATAAGATATAAACAAAAATCGAATAATAAAAAACATGAATAATGAGTGCTCACCAATGTTTCCATAGCTGGGCCATCCTTTAGGTTTACCAAAGTCTAGAGAAGACAGAGAAGTTTGACTTCGATCCAAACTATCCCGCCTAGAGTTATCAGTATTCATTATTTCATGTAATAATAAAAAAAAATCAGTTTTATAAATACTCCGCGCCAGGGGTGTATACAGGAATTTGAGTAGGGGGGGGGAGGGTTTCTAAGTGGTTAGCACCCGTTGGACCTGAAAACTCCCTGGAAGCCGTATATTTTACTAATCCGTAGCCCCACTGCAGTACACCTTTGCTCCGCGCCCAGGGGGATGAAGATTCATAAAGTGAGTCTTTCTGGGAGGTTACTGTTTTCTAGAAAATATCCCCCCAACTAAACTTGGTTTAGAATGGTTTCCAGGTAAAAAAAAAAAAGAATTTTTAGGCAAAATTAATCTATAAGGATTTTTTTTATCAATTTATTGTCCAGTTTTCCATTTCTCCCTTCCAAAACCATGGAGAGGGGGGAGGGGGGAGGCTAGTTGAACTACTTCTCTCGTGCACTCTTGGTACAATGTTCAACTGAAGTTTAGAGGTCGAATATTTGATTGGATTAGACCGAGAATTTATAATTATAAGTAAATATTTTTGCCTAAGATTAGATATTTCATTATTTTTTAATTAATTCTTATCCTAGTTGGAATCCAGGTCCCATTGTGTAATACGATCCGAAGGAATTTAATAACCGGACGATTAGAATATCTTTATTAGTTGAGTAAAATGAAGCTATTTTTAAGATTTATTTTTTGAAGTTGTAAATCCCAAAGTAAAACCAAAATAAGCTGGATCTTAGATTTTGAAGTTGCATAAGTAAAGAAAAAAAATCATCATATTATCTTTAACCACGGAATGGGTGGAGGGGGTTGCGTTTGACATTGTTTCTGTTTAGATATATTGTATCTCATATATGATAAAATATTGCCGGACACGTAGGATACCTCAAACCTTTTTTATCTTATTTAACCGTGTGGAAAATTTCCAACGAACAAAGAATATAAATTGAAGATTCTATTTGTTACAGGTCTTTCTTCAATTGCAAACATTGAAGAAAATACTTAAATAAGTTTGAAATAATGCTGATAATATATTCCTGAGGTTTGAGTTGGCCATCGAGGATATGGGAGACATGTTCATGTTGGAGTAGGTATTGTTCAAGCTGGGTAGCACAGGGTTCACAAGCCTTACAGGAGGAACACCTGGATATATCAATCAATCAATCAATCAACCAACTGAATAACTCAATCATCAACCAACTAATTAATCAATTGAAAAATAACTGAGCTGGGAACTTTTGTGCTGGATACTTATAATTCCGATTACTTGATCTCAATATCCACTGTGGGCACCTTTATTTGAGGATTAATGCTTGATCTCTTGATTTCAGTTATTCCTCCCCTGATCAAAGCTACCTATGATCTTGATATCCACAGTACAAGACTTCCCAGCTTTGATAAATCAATGAATAAATTATTAAATTAACTGTTAAAATCAATAATCAATCAATAAAGCAATAAATTCAAATTAACAAAATCAATCAATTAAACAAACAAATTAATCTCTACATTTATTAACTAATTTACCAAACTTAAGCATTTCTCTACAGGTAATTTTTAAAATAAATTCATAAAAGCAAATATTCACTTTTTCAATCTTAAGCTAATAATTAAAGGGAATGTAAGCGTAATTTTAATTAACCCTCCATGCAAAGATTGCAACTTCCGATGTATAACTCGATGCCCTTTTAAAAGCATTAATAAGATATCCATGTTTGTAAAACTTATTTTTATGTGTGATTTCTGTTCACAAGTGCATTTCTTGCTTACAAGAAATTTTTTCAAAACATTATTTTTTTCAAGTCAGAAAACGACGCTATCTTCAACATTTCTGATCAGATTAAGATTTCAAGGGTATCCTCGTAAATCAGGCATTGCCATCATTGCATAAAGGGACACTTGAAATAACGCTTTTAGTCCTTTTAAGTAAACAAGGCTTTTAGGGGGCTTTGCGCCAATCTTCTATTTCATTTTTTAATGGTGGCTTTGTCTGTGAGCATCTTCTCTTTGAAAAAGTAGGAAAAAAAGTTCGCGGATTTCAAAATATTTTTGCGCGCATATTCAAAATTTTACAAAAATAAAAAACTTAAAAACTGAAATTTTTAAAAATTTTTATCATTCATAAATCTTCCCTGGGGTCACATGAGTCCCTCGAAAAATTTGTGTCCGATCAGTTCAGCCGTTTTGACGTTTTTTTTTGGATACAAACAGACAGACAGACAGGCTAAGCTAAGTAAAAGTGAAAAACCGGAAAAAGAATCTATAAACGTTACCTCCGCCTGGCCCAAGCCGTATCCCTCCATTGGTATCATAAAATGGAATCATCTAAACATATAATCAAGGTTATCAGTTGATCAATCCAATCCAATCTGATTGATGTGTTAGGATCAGTCAAATAGATCAACGTAAAACAATCAATTATATGAACTTACAATTTAATCAATCAAATCAATTTCCTCCATTTTATCATATTAATCCATTTTATTAAATTCATTTGATTCATCAATTTCACCCATTTCACCAATTTCATCCATTTCATCCATTTCAATCATTTCACCAAAATATCAAATTCATAAAATTTACTTATTTTGGCCATTTCATCCACTTAATCCATTTAATGCATGAGATCTATTTCATCTAATTAATCAAGTTAATCCCATTCATCCAATTCCAACCATTTTGACCAAAAAAGAACAAAAAAAACCGTAAAAAATAATTACCTGATAAGGTGCAGGAGAGGTGAGAGAATCCTGAGGTCCAGGTGTTCCACCGCCATTCTAAACAACATTAATATTTATCAATATTTGAAAAATTAATGCATAATTTTAAATGACCCTCCATGCAAAAAATGGCAACTCCCGATTCACAACGGTACCCAAAAAACTGCAGTGCTCGGGAGTTTTTTTTACGTTACAAATTATATAAAAAAGAAAAGTTATTAATAACATCACGAAATCGTATACTCGATAAGTTTGCTTTGAATAATACCAATAGGCTATTTTTTACGGATCAAAGATAATGACCAAAATAATTTCTCTAAACGAAAAACGATTTTTCCAACCGTTCAGTAAATTCGTTAATATCTATGATCTTGCGTGCAATTTTGAAATAAGATTTACATCTCAGATATTCTAATAGAAAAAATCTCAAACATTGTTATATTAAAAAACGGTCCTCAAAACTCTGCCCACCAGAAGCTGCGTACCTGTGATGCAGGACTGCCTGGGCGTCCACTGCTGCTTCTTGAGCTTCCGTTCTGAGGTGGCCCCGGTGTGGTGGGGGTACCGTTGGGGATAAGCCCCCCTGGAGGGGGGTACCAGGGGACTCCAGCATAGTAGGACATAGGTAGCATGGGCAAACCATTTTGGCCTAAGCAAATCAATCAAATTAAACTTTTAGGGACGCCCTTTAACCCAATCCAGAAGTGACTTAACTAAATCAGAAATGAAATGAATGAATTTGCAATAAAACTGTATTTAAAGGTTCTGTATTGAAAGGGTTCTGTATTTAAAGGTTCTGTATTGAAAGGGTTCTGTATTTAAAGGGTTCTGTATTGAAAGGGTTCTGTATTTAAAGGGTTCTGTATTTAAAGGGTTCTATATTTAAAGGGTTCTATATATAAAGGGTTCTGTATTTAAAGGGTTCTATATTGAAAGGGTTCTATATTTGAAGGGTTCTATATTTGAAGAGTTCTATATTTAAAGAGCTCTATATTTAAAGGGTTCTATATTTAAAGGGTTCTATATTTAAAGGGTTCTGTATTTAAAGGAATCTATATTCAAAGGGTTCTATATTTAAAGGGTTCTATATTTAAAGGGTTCTAGGTTTAAAGGGTTCTGTATGGAATTTAAAGTTTTGTAAGTTATTGCAGTTAAGTCTAACTCATTATATAGTTTATTTAACTTGTAAAATGTTATTTTCAACTTAACTAACAGAATAATAAGGGGGTTTATTTAATATCATTTAGGAAGGGATTATTATTACATTTTAAAAACAAGATGTCTGGTTTTGATGAAGACTTAAAAAAATAAACCTTTTTTTAAAACTAATACGGAGACCATTGAATTTGATTAAATAAGGCGACACATTCAGTAAAACAAAAATAGACTGAAAGCCAATTACTTAAGCTCTTGATCGTGACCCATGAAAGTTATATCTGATGTTCCTGTCTCGAGAAATTGATATAAAACTGTCTAATTTATATGAAAATTCACATATACACAATTTTGTATAGAAATAGTAGGTTTAAACAGATCATATTCAGCAAATATGCAACCAATCTGAAAACGAATACATCCCAGAGAAACCAAATTAAACTTTCTCCACTTATTATTTTATATTTTTTATCTTTATTTTTAAAATATATAATTTACGTCACAAGAACTCCCGCCGATCGTAGTGCGGCATAGTGGTCACGTGTCTCTGTCTGTATCACGTGACCAGTATACTACACTCTCAAAAGCTTAAGTGATTGGCTTTCAGCCTATACCCCCTTTTTATTTTTCCTTTACAGTCCCAATACAGAAAAAGTCTGAAAATATATTTTAAAAGTAAAAACTGAAGAAAAATTGAATCAAAAAAGGAAAGATTTAAATTCCAAACCGAAAAATCTAATCAAACAAATTTAAGCTTAAATTTAAAAATATTACTTAAAGGGACTGTGAGCGTACTTTCAAGTGATCCTTCATGCACAAGAGCATTCCTCGATTTACAACGTCAATTAACCCTCCATGCAAAGATTGCAACTTCCGATGTATAACTCGATGCCCTTTAAAAGCATTAATAAGATATCCATGTTTGTAAAACTTATTTTTATGTGTGATTTCTGTTCACAAGTGCATTTCTTGCTTACAAGAAATTTTTTCANAAAGAAGCATTGGAGAAATTATCAGAGTTAAAAACGTTATCTAGAGTCTAGAGAACGATAGAAACTTACGACTTTTTTATTTATTAAAATAAGGTTTCAAAATGTAACGTAGTGAATTGTGCACTGCCATTTTGGGTTGAAAGGGTCAGCTAAAATTACCCTAACAGTCCCTTAAAGATCATTAAAAAATATGAAAAACGAAAACTAAAAAAAGAATAAAAATGTCTACCTAGATTGAGGAGATAGGGATCTTGTTGTACCCCTGGGTTTATCAGATAAGGACTGTTCCCAGGAAATCCACCTAAAACATATTTTTTTCATAATTTCAAGCGCTTCGTGCCACTTCTTAGTGCACACCAATCTCTAGCTCACTCTTAGGTTATCTGTCTTACGCAGATTTTGTTTATCCTTTAATATGTTTTAAAGTCCTTTCTACTGGCTATAAACTGTAGTATACTTACTGGCTTTAAACTGTAGTATACTAACTAACTACCGGGCACACTCGTTTTCAAACAAATATGGCAAAACGGATTTCTGATGGGTGCTGGGCCGCTGGTAGCGGATTAAATTAAATCATAATATTCGAAATTTTATTCCATACTGCCAAAAAAAAAACTGGAATAGTTTAAATTTTCATGTTTTACAATTGATAGTGTTGAAATAAAAATAAATATTTTTGGTCAAAAAGTACGTTTAAACAGTTAAAGAAAAGGGGGAAAAATAAGAGAAGAGACAGGTTTACTTTAAACCCGGAAAATCTAAGAAAACATTCTTATTCTTTATTCAATACTGTACAGTGTACAGTGTACAATATACATTAAAAATCTGTGTGTTGCAGTTCAATAATAGTTTTACATATTTTGAAGGATGGAATTCTGAATTTAATTGAAGTTTTTTTCCACAATGCTTTAATGATCATTAGATTGAGGACTAATCAAATTCCCAAATCTTAAATCAAGAGTATAAATATGTTTAAACTATGCAATTCTCAGGATCCTAATATAATATATATGTAATTCATATATATTTCCTTCCTTTCTACCTTCCTAAAATTATAATGGTTGGGAGAGAAGCTCCCTCAAATTATAATTGTTGGGAGAGAAGCTCCCTCAAATAAAAATGATAGGGAGAGAAGCTCCCTGAAATTAAAATGATAGGGAGAGAAGCTCCCTCAAAATTAAAATGGTAGGGAGAGAAGCTCCCTCAAATTAAAATGGTAGGGAGAGAAGCTCCCTTAAAATGGTAAGGAGAGAAGCTTCCTGAACTTAAAAAGGTAGGGAGAGAAGCTTCCTGAAATTATAATTGTTGGGAGAGATGCTCCCTGAACTTAAAATGGTAGGGAGAGATGCTCCCTGAACTTAAAATAGTAGGGAGAGAAGCTTCCTGAAATTATAATTGTTGGGAAAGATGCTCCCTGAACTTTAAATGGTAGGGAGAGAAGCTCCCTGAAATTAAAATGGTTGGGAGAGAATCTCCCTGAAATTAAAATGGTTGGGAGAGAAGCTCCATGAAATTAAAATGGTAGAGAGAAGCTCCCTCAAATTATAATTGTTGGGATAGAAGCTCCCTGAAATTAAAATGGTTGGGAGAGAAGCTCCCTGAAATTAAAATGGTAGAGAGAAGCTGCCTGAAATTATAATTGTTGGGAGAGAAGAAGCTCCCTGAAATTAAAATGATAGGGAGAGAAGCTCCCTGAAATTAAAATGATAGGGAGAGAAGCTCCCTGAATTATATGTTTGAGGCGAGGATCCCTGGAGAAGGTATGATAGGAGAAAAACAAGATGTCAATATTTAAATAAGATGAGTGACTGATGTGGGAAGTATATGATGAAATTGGAAAATCTATTTTCACCAATATTTTATAAGGATTTTAAATAAAAAAATTTGCTCTTGGGTATATTACGATTTAAAACGTTCATCGCACAAAAAAATTGCCGTTTTAAATTATATTATACTTAATTATTTTAATGTTCAGTTTTCCTTTCGTCTTTATAAGCTAAATTTAACCAACTTCAAAGATATATTATTTGCAAGGAAAGTAATATTTTTGCACAATCTTTTAGCAAGTATATCAAATTTGTGCAGGTCATTCGCAAAATCGTGGAAATGTCGGCATAGTTTAACATCTTTTTTCGCGAAACATAACACAATGGTAAAAAAAATATTTTTTTTGTGTGTAAAATAAACTGACACACATTTTGGGGGGTCAGGGTAGACATGTAAAACCACCCCAAAAACCCACGTGTGATTGGGCTTTTGGGGCTTTATTGGGTTTTTAATTTTGCTTCTTCTAATTATAGCATTTTCTTCCTTCTTATAATGATAAACTCTTCTGGAAATAAGGTCTACTTTCAACTGTATTTACAGGACTAAAACTGACACATTTTATTTCCTAAGGCTTAAACCAATGATCGTAATAAAATAAATCTTGTTCGAATATTGAGTTATTTAAAAAAAGTAAATTAATCAAACTAATCAACCACTCTAGACATCAAGATGTTTCCAGACAAATCAAACAGTGGTTTTCCTTCCTGAGCAACATCTACCGATTTATCCCCTTATAGAAGAGAAAATATATATTTGTATTTAAAGAGTATTTAAATATGATTATAGCCTATTATCACAACATTATTATTATCATTCATCTATTGCTTGAAAGGCTTATTATTATGAATTAGTGTGAATTTTGGAAGGTTTTAACTACTTTCAAATTAAAAACCCATGTCCCCAGGAGAGGTTTATAGCTCTTAAAACTTAAGAATTTCAACATTTATCATTAACATTTTCTATCTCGCAAACGAGTTTATCTAAGTTTAAAATATTTAAGGGCTACGACATTGGGTTGCAAAGAGATAGGGATTAGAATATTTAAGACAAATTTACCAATAAAACTAGGAAATTCTTCAATTTTGTTTAGTATTCCAGGTAGAAGAGAACAAAATATTAAATATTTAAGTTCAGAAAAATACCAAATACATGAATGTGGAATGTGGAGGGGATATTCTATTATTTATCCTTGTATCCTTAGTCTACTGAAAACCAAAATATCAAGCTCTGCAATTTTACAAGTTAATCTCTTTTAAATCTTTGTTTACACAACCAGGAAACTGGAGAAAAACAAATAAACCTGAGAATTTAAAAATTCAAAAGAATTACGAAAAATAAAGAAAAAGGTAGTAAAAGTAAAAATGTGCCAACTTTACTAGGACTACAGACGGGTATCTAATTTTAGGTAATTTTATGTTACAGATCAGATACCTTTAAATTTAAATAACAAAGGAACTTTTTAATTTAAATAACAAAGGTACCTTTTAATTTAAATAACAAAGGTACTTTTTAATTTAAATAAAAAAGGTACATTTTAATTTAAATAACAAGAGTACCTTTAAATATAAATAACAAGGGTACCTTTTAATTTAAATAACAAGGGTACCTTTTAATTTAAATAACAAGGTACCTTTTAATTTAAATAACAAGGGTACCTTTTAACAATTAAATTAACACAATGAGTGGAATATTGACAGTTTCTATATTAAATCCGCAAGCTAAAAAAGCATGAATATAGCGTAATAAGTTTAGCTGGAAGGAATGTTTAAGGGGTGTAGATATAAATCAATTCAATATTAAACTTGAAAATACGTCAACAGCCCTTTTTATGGGGGTCGTCAAAATATAATAGAAAATATATAAGATATATTTACAAAAATTTCATAGAAATGCACTGAAATACATAGAATTTGATCAAAGCTGATTATTTTATCTGAATAAATATTAAATAGATTTCCAGTCCAATATCATTATTTAATACATACAAATCCTAATATGCAAATTTATATGAATAAAAGTTAATTTCATTTTTCAAAACATAAATTTGTCAGATATTAAAAGGAAAATTTTAGTTAATTTTGCAATCATTTAGCCTTTATTTTTAATTATCGCCATACAATCGAAAACTACAAAACTTGAAATCTTAAAAAAGAAGAAAATATATCATAATTGAGCCAGGCCTGTTCAGACCATAAATTCAAAAAACAAAACAACTCAAATTCAATCAGGGGTGTTTATTCTTACCCCCTACCCCCTCAGGGAGAGGGGAAGAAATCAAAATTTGACCAAACCGGGAGAAATATTAAAAAAGTCAAGTGAAAAAGTGTCAAAGGAGACAAATTGTTATCCAAGAAAGTCGGAAGAAGGGAAGAAAACTGAATTTTAGATTGAATTCTCATCAGTCATCCCCCAAACGTTCCTGGAAAGACAGAATGGGGAAGGTAATTCAACTTAAATTGTCTTCCTAAAAGTGTCCGGAAAATAAAAAAAAGTTGAAACTAAAGGTTAATGATGAATTCTCTTCTCTAAAAGTTCCCTAGGTTAAAAAAGTAGAAAAATCGCATTTCAGAGAAAGTGGCTTCTATATATAAATTTGGCTTGTCTGTTTGTTTGTCTGTTTGTTTGTTTGTATCCAATAAACGTCAAAACGGCTGAACCGATCGGGCCCAAATTTTTTGTGGGACATCTAAGGACCCCAGGGAAGGTTTATGAATGATCAAAATTTCAAATATTTGTCTCCATCAAAATTCGATCTTCATTAAATTTTTGAAAATTTTGAAAATCCACGAATTTTTTGTGAAAATCCGCGAATTATTTTTGTTTTGTTTTACGATGTACACAAAGAGAACATGTTCACAATTAATATAGAAGATGGGCGCGAAGCGCCCTCTAAGGCTAGTGTAATATATTTCTTTAAATGGATTATTTTCCTGTAACGAGGAGTTTTACACTTTTGTTACTTCGAACCATAGTAATGTTGGTTCCATTTTTTATTTTTTATTTGCACCCCTTCGGGTTGCAAACGTATGCTCACAAACATGGAAGAAAAATCAACTTACTTTATAACAGAATCTACATTCTACATCCCTGATTTTATGTGTAGATTAAGCCTTGAATTTCATGAAAATTAAGTTTTCCATGCTGCATAACAGTTTAAACTGTTATAAACTCGTTTTATTAAAATTTATTTGTTATATTAAGCGTGCAACTTGGTTTAAGGAATCAATAAAGTTCTTTCCCCTGCTTGTTACTTATTTGTCCTGTCTTGTTACCTATTTGTCCTGTCTCGTTACCTATTTGTCCTGTCTCGTTTCCTATTTGTCCTGTCTTGTTACTTATTTGTCCCGTCTCGTTACCTAATTGTCCTGTCCCGTTACCTATTTTTCCTGTCTCGTCACCTATTTGTCCTGTCTCGTTACCTATTTGTCCCGTCTTGTTACCTATTTGTCCTGTCGCGTTACTTATTTATCCTGTCTCGTTACCTATTTGTCCTGTCTAGTTACCTACTTGTCCTGTCTAGTTACCTACTTGTCCTGTCTTGTTACCTATTTGTCCCGTCTCGTTACCTATTTGTCCTGTCTTGTTACCTATTAGCCCTGTCTTAAAACCTATTTGTCCTGTTTTAAAACCAACCTACTTGTCCTGTCTTGTTACCTATTTGTCCGGTCTTGTTACCTATTTGTCCGGTCTTGTTACCTATTTGTCCCGTCTTGTTACCTATTTGTCCCGTCTTGTTACCTATTTGTCCCGTCTTGTTACCTATTTGTCCCGTCTTGTTACCTATTTGTCCAGTCTTGTTACCTATTTGTCCCGTCTTGTTACCTATTTGTCCTGTCTTGTTACCTAGTTGTCCTATTTCGTACCTGTTTGTCCTGTCCGGTTACCTACTTGTCTTGTCCTGTTACCTATTTGTCCCGTCTTGTTACCTATTTGTCCCGTCTAGTTACCTATTTGTCCCGTCTAGTTACCTATTTATCCCGTTTTGTTACCTATTTTTCCTCCTATTTGTCCTATTTTGTTACCTATTTGTCCTGTCTTGTTACCTATTTGTCCTGCTGCTAGATGCTGTTGAGCCAGGAACTGTTGTTGAAGAAGATGGAGCTGAGCTTGACTGGTTAATCCCCGATAAACTCCCTGGACAATAATAAAATAATAATGGCAAACTAATAATAATGATAGAATAAGATTATCATTAAAATTACTTACTATGATTACTGATTTTGAAATGAAGATTAAAAAGTTCTTAAGAAGAATTCACAAAAATGTGCTGAAATGTACTGTACATGACTGCAATGTATTGTATATGACTGTATTGTACTGTGCTATTTAATTGTGCTACCACCGGATTTTTAAAAATGGTATTTTACAAAAAACGCGTTTTTATCCTATTTACTTATTTTAACACTTACAATGACAAAATTTAAACAAAATTTTAAACATTAAAGTACACTATTAGGCTGAAATAGATGTTCTTTGGATCGCTTAAATAGCAACTCATTTAACTCTTTGCCTCCCAACTACGCATACTCCTTTGGTTTTAATAATGTGTGCATAGGTTTGGTTTCTTAGAAAAATGACGATTTCATGACAACTACTAAAAAGGTTTATTTCCAAAGTTTGAGCTGAATTTGACAAGTTTAATTTCTTTTTACACTTCGAGACTTGTGGCTGAAAATGAACCATTAAAGTTTCGGCCACTACACAGAACATTTCTTTTCAAAATTCTCATTAAACAGACACAATGTGTTGTATTAAACCGACATGTTCTTATTTACACCAATTAGCCCAGCTAAATATCTGTCCATACAAGCAAAATCTTTCATCTCACTTAGCTGTTTGAGATAAAATGAGGAGGACAAATCTTTATCAAGGAATAAGATTTTTTAAATAGTGACAAATATGTAAAATAAAGGAAATTGTAAAATTAACAAAAACATAACTGAAATTTAGACTGGTTGGGACTGTTCTTATTTATTAATTTTCATGACAGAAACAATCTCAAGAACTGACGAGGGTCAACCCAGACCGAGATATATTTTCAACAAAATGTTGAACTAACATCTGTAGTAAACGCCTACTCCATAACATTTTTCCAATCAGTATCTATCCAGGTAGAGTTCAGTTTAAACACGGATACAATCTTGTTAGCTATCGATATCCAATGAACTATCAACGCCACTACCACTGCACACGATATCGTTTGCTATGTCAACCAGACAATAGAAATCTATTGATCAATGTCTTTAAACAGGACATGACCCACACGGCTACAATCCCGTGAACTATCGACGCCACTACCACTGGGCCCGATCTTGTTTGCTATGCCAACTGGACAATAGTGATCTATTGATCAATGTCTCAAACAGGACATTATTCACACGGCTACAATGGAATGAACTATCAACGACACTTCCACTGTGCACGATCTCGTTTGCTATGTCAACCGGACAATAGCGATCTATTGATCAATGTGTCATACACGATCTCAATTTGTATGTTTCAACGAAAACCATAATTACTCTCAACACTGTAATCAAAGCGGAGTTTCTGTATCAACTAATGTATTTGAGGTTTATATGTTACAAGTTAAAGTTAATAGACGTAATTACAATTCCTAAGTCGTCATCTATATCACATGATTAATCATGCTTTGTATTCGATTGAAACGCAGTTTCCATGAATAATGGGTTTTACGTAAAAGTTTACAAACATAGATATTTAATTATGTACAACGTAGTGCAGGTTTACAGAATATCATGTTAACCCAATATTCATTACACATCACCGAATTTTAAATCTTATTTATATCAACAAGTAAAAAATGTTTTTTTTGCAATGCTAATGATCCAGATCCGTTGGATCTGCACGATTTTGGTTTCCTGGATCCGAATCCGGATCCTCAAAAATATATAGATCCAGGGATCCGAATCCAAGGAGGAAAAAACAACCAAAAACTGCAAAAAAAAACTTTTTTATTCTCAGAACCCAAATCTGAGCTGTTGAAAAAAAGAATATAAAAATTTCTCTGAATGTTTCAAGTTTTAGCATAAAAATAAGCAAAAAAAAAGAAGAAAAATAATTTGACAATTCAGCTTTATTGAGATTGGTCCTTCTGTTAAAAAATTCCGTAAATCCGGATCCGGATCAAAATTAAATGGATCCTAAGCACTTGACTTTTTAGGTTGGCTGGTTTATTTAAAACCAGCTAACATTTGATGCTTACTTAAAGGAACTGTAGACATAATTTCAATTTCATTTTCTGTAAAGAAACGCACACTTGAAAATAATCAATTTTCAGAGAGAATATTATGGAAATCTCATGCATCCCAGATCAGACAAACCTTTGAAGGGTACGGATGTGAATAGGGCAATCCTAGAGGGTCACTTTAAATTACGTCCAATGACCCTTTAATGCTTTTTACAACTTCATTTTGACAAGTTTGAAAGCTTTGTTTCTATTGTGCCGGGAGTTTATTAAGTTTGAGCACAATAATCTGCATTAGGTTTAATATCATGCAACTTTATTTATCAACAAAGTGTCGTGGGGTTAAAGGGACTGTTACCGTTATTTTTAAGTGTCCATCCATTTATTTGAGTTTGTCTGATTTACTAAATAAAGCAAAACGACAATTTAAGTATAAAACATGTAAAATCTGCAGTTACTTGTTTGGCAATTTTGTTCATTCAATAGCTAATTCTTGATTATGAAGGGCAATACAAGGGGGGGGGGGTTCCATAAGGAATATGCAAGTTTTATAATTAAATCAAATTCTCATCAAAACTTGGTATTTTTGTTCTGATAAACACAACTATACAGAGCTCGAGTAAATAACTGCACTGCAGGGGTAGGGTAGAGATTATCAAATACAAACTTCATGAATAAATTCTTCCTTTTAAATTCAGGGGCCGGGGGGAAAAATCAAAGAATTTACAATATTTACAACAACAAAATACCATATATATAAAATACATTTTTAAGGATAAACTATGTGGAAAATTATGCTTAGTATAATATGTTTTTCATGGTGGTTTTAATCTTTTCAAAATGGCTTATGAATATTAATACTCGGGGAAAAATAAGAGAAATTACATTTTAATAATTCTAACTTTCCTTTTTACCTAATAATTCTCACAACTAATAGCCCTTGTAACAAGCAGTACCTGCCTACACCCCTAATTTACACTTATTACACCCTCACTTGATACTTATTACACACACACACACCCCCCCCTCGGCCCCGTCCCTTGTAGTAAGCAGTACCTTCCTCTCCACTGTTTGGTAATACTTATTGTCCCAAACACAAATGTTTATCTTTAAGAAAAGCTAAGACTTGAAGAAGTAAAGCATAGNAGTACCTGCCTACACCCCTGTTTGATAATACTTATTGTCCTAAACACAGACCTCCCCCTTGTAATTAGCAGTACCTGCCTACACCCCTGTTTGATAATACTTATTGTCCTAAACACAGACCTCCCCCTTGTAATTAGCAGTACCTGCCTTCACCCCTGTTTGATAATACTTATTGTCCTAAACACAAACGTTTATCTAAATGAAAATCTAAGACTATGTAGAAGCCAAGCTTGTTGATTATGCATGAAACTAGAAGTAAATGTTTAGCAGAGCTTTCTTATTCATTGTTTCCTTGTATTTAAATTAGGGTTTTAGGGGTTTTTATTTCCTCGTCAATATGTTTATATTGAAAAAATAAAGGACTTTATCACTCAAAGGAACTGTTGTCTTGATTCTTTCCTTCACCGGCCGATTCACAACGTTACATTTGACCCTTTTTTAAAGCAAAAATTATTAAACTAATTTTTGTTTTATTTTACCATCAAAAATTGAGTCTTAATTTCTAGTTTCTTTTTTATGACTTAAGGATTTTTGTAGACGAGAAAATTACGAAAAATGACCTTCAAGATCACTTAAAGAAATAACAAGAATTAAGTAAAGTTTAAGCAATTGCTGATTTAGAAGTTCATTCTTTAATGTTTAAAAATTGATGAAAGTTAATAAATAATAATAGTTTGATACCTCATAAAAGTTAAATAATAAGTATTTCAAATACAGTTTAATATTCATATCAGCT